CATTTGTCATTTCCTCTTCTAGTAAAGCAAATAATGCAATTTCAAACACATACACGACAGCGACATAAACAAACAAAAAATAAATACCACGTGTATATTTTTATATTAGCACTAGCTTTCCAAATTTCTAATCACCGTCAGTCACGTTCGATATGGAAACAAAACTCGTTAATCTCTATAGACAAATCTGGTTCTGTCCACTACGAAGCATGATCATCAATATTTCACTTTTTTTTTTTTTGACATCGAATATTTCACGCACATGCCCATCCAAAAAAGGTCCCAAACGACCAAACATTGATCTCATTATTTAAAAAGAAAAAAACAACTTCGTAACATATATTATAAACTTTGTAATAACAAAACACACAACATTGAGTTGACTATTTCCTGATGTAACAAAAAAAAAGGCTGGAAAGCTCATATTTGTAACCTTCGGGGAGGGATAATAGCCCGAGGTGGGTTCGGTATCGAGTCATCCGGTCCAAGATCATCAATAGGTGGTCGCTTTCTATGGGCATTGGTAAGCGATTGGTACGCCATACCCAATGCCAAAGCCTACCACACCAACAAATAAGTTTACAAAAGGAATCTCAATATCCAATTATCGCAATTCTCTTAAATTTCATCAGAGATACATATTCGTTTAGATTTACTTACGATGTGATCACGTTCCGGCGGAGCATAAATTCCGGCATTGATCGTTGTCCTTCTCCTACAATCGCTGGTTGGTGGTGCCGATATGTTCTTGAAACCGGTCGGAATCACTAGAACCGGTAAACCGACAAGGTTTCCCATACAGACTTTCTCCCAATCTGTCACGTTTCCAATAAAAGCATCCACTGTGAAGCTCTTCTCCACTTCTCGAATCAACTTACCACGAGCTCTCTGCGCCTAAACCGGTATAAATCAGAGAGACATAAATCACCTGTGAACAAATGCATCACAAAACCGACCCATAAACCAAAATCAAAACGGGCAAAAAAAACCTGAATGTAATCGACGGCTGTAATTAAACGAGCACGGCGTAACTCAACCGGCCATTGATCTTGTGCTTCATAGAGATCATCTTGACCGGTTCTTTGCCATTCATCGAAATGAGCTAACATGTCTACGTCCATTGTGAAATTCAATATCCCTTGAACCGCATCCACTGTATAATTTAGTTCGAAAGGAACCATATTGACACCTTTCGACCCAAGAACTTCCACGACCTGCAAATGCCAAATGTCGAGTCAACACAAACCCGGTTTTTCTGATTACAGACAGCATTTAACTATTTTTGTTTACCTTCATGTCAGCATCTTTTGTATACCCAACAGTGAGTTTAGTGATATCCACAGAGAAGGGATCTTCAAAAGCGAGCTCTCTTGATGAGAGATCCTCTGGATCTTTCCCTTTGATGGCGTCAAGGACTACAGCGCAATCCGCTGCTGTTCTACAGAATGGTCCAAGCTTATCCTGTGTGACAAAGAGGAGTTGCATTTACAGAGTTATACACTCTGAAGTTTTTACTCGGTTGGACCGGTTCTATTTTTTGCCATACCAGAGACTCGGATATGCTCATCACTCCGGTTCTACCAACGCTCCCAAATGTGGGACGCAATGCTGTTACGCCACACCGAGCTGCAGGATATGTCATTGAGCCTGCTGTCTCCGAGCCTATGGCAAACGGAACCATACCTGAACAAAGAACCAGTTTACTTTTCCAGATATAGCCAAATAGAAACGTAATCTTGATGCATTATCTATATAAAAAACTAACCAGCTGATGTGGAAGCAGCGGGTCCAGCTGATGACCCGGTAGAGAATTCCTCGATATTCCACGGGTTCCTAGTCCGTCCCCCGAACCAGATGTCATCATAAGCCAGAGAACCGGAAACAAGCTTTGCTACTAAAACTGCACCTGAAGCTTTTAATCTAAACAAACAGAAAAAGGAGCGTTTCCACTGTCAAGTTAAATCCAACAGAACAACTAAAGGAAATCAATGAACACGGTGAGAGTTTTATTTCCCGGACCTTTTGTAAACCCATGCTTCAATATCAAGAACTTGGTCTTTGAAAGAAGTTGAACCCCACGTTGTTTTGTATCCGGGAACAGCAACTATATCTTTCAAACCATATGGGATCCCGTGAAGAGGTCCTACCATGCACCCAAAAAAAAAATAAAAATCAGAAGCTTGAAGAACTAGCTGATAACCAATCCAACGAACAAATCTATTGCATAAGAGAAAGATACCGAGATAAGTTCCTTTAGAGAGCAAATCATCAGCTTCTTTGGCTTGTTTGTATGCCAATTCTTCAGTATAAGTAACCACCGCTTCAAGAACTTGATTGTACCTTCAAAAATATCCAAATTAACAACAAAATCAGATCATGTAAAATTCTCTGCACACACTCAGTGAGAAACAGAAGCTCCCGTACCGTTTTAACTGCTTGAGATAAATCCTAACGAGTTCCTCGGAAGTAATTTGTCTCGTCTTTATAAGTTCTCCGAGTTCAAGAACCTGCCAAAAAAAAGCATACGAAACTTTCCATCTGTTGTAACAACAACAGTAAAAGAGGGAGATGACTTACGCTCATAAAGGCGATATCTTCTTCATCTCTAGGGAGTCTTACTCCAGATACCGAAGGATATTTGAATCTTTTGCCTTGTACACTCGGAGCTTCTCTGTTCCAAGATGGATTAAACACCAGAGGAGATGGATTTTCAAGCCCGCCATTCTTAGTAGCGACTAGTTTCCGGTTGGTTCGATATATAGGAACGTTCATTTCAGTGGCTCCCTTTGCAATCTCCTGAATCTATATATATATATACCCCCAAAATAATAAAAACACTATTGTGAAAATTGACAAGTAAAAACTTATACTTTCTTAATCAAAAGTATGATTTAAACAAAAAAATGGCTTATTGCTGTTACTCCTCCCCAAAAATCTGAAGTTTTTTATAGTCAGGAAGAGGAAGTATCAACTATAAAGCACTACCTTAGTTTCATTGAAGAATCCAGAATCAATCAACTCAAACATGCTCTGCAGAAACTTAGCTTCCATAGTCTTATCTGGTAGTTCAGTTAAAGTGATGTTGCTGTCCTGATCAAGAACATTTATACATAACATCAGGCTCATTAAAAACCGCAAATTTGGAAAAACAAAATCAGATTTTACCTCGGCGAAGTTGTAATCCTACGGCACGGAACACCCACTTTCCGGTCCAAGATTTTCCACAGTGACTTGCAATTTCTCACCATTGAAATAGAGGGCTGGCATGGAAGACGAGAAGAGACTAAATTGGAGCAGAGAAGGTTCGACTCAGAAGAAACAGCGTCCGTACAAAAGACCGTTAAACCTAGGAGGAGGAAGAGGAGTAGGAGTGGCGCACATGAACGGCTACGAGGAGGTGAGCCACGCGTCGCTAAGCAAGGCCGTATGGCTGGAGCACACGTGGCGATCGGTGGTGCTACCATCGAATCGGCTGGTGAATCGGGCTTGATAACGGTGACAGTGACGGAGAATCGCTCCCTTTTGTACTTGTGCGTACTGAGGAGATTAACGGAACGAGACGGCCGTTGACTCTGACTCTGCTCCGGTGAGGAACTCAAGTCGAATATTAGGAAATTTGGAGAAGTGGATGCAACTAAGTGGGTCTAACTGATCATTAATTTGACGATAATTGAGTACTTTAAGTGAAATTGCAATAAACAGAGAGAGGAAAAAAAAAACTAAATCACCATTTAAATAGACGCTGAACACTTTGATAGTTCCTAGTAATTGAATATTGACAGAAATATATTGTTTCAAAACACTGGCCCGCCCACAAAACATGAGATAAGTTTTAATTTTTTATTTTTAGCAAGATAACTTAATTTGTAGTCTACCGCTATATCATATTCTGGTGAGAATTAAAATTCTTTCATTTGGTTTTTTTAAGTCTGCCGGTATGACAAAAATAAATTGAAAATTTGTGTGCTAGATCATATGTCTCGAACGTACAGAATCAAGCTCAACATAATTAGGGCGTTGCTAACTAGTTAGTGGGTGATTATACTATACAGACGCTAGTTCAACCGGTTTGCTTATGGTTTTGTCCACATTTTGAGGAATTCCATTGCATACCGGCATGTTTTTTTTTGTGTCAGTTCAATAATTTTAGTTTATCGAGTTCTCCACCACATGTCGATTACTTTTCTTGATTAATGCTTGCACTGGTTTCTCGTCAAGAACGCGATAAAGAGATATGTGTTTCCTTTTTATGGTTTTTTTCTTAGTCATGTTTAAGGTAAAACAAACAAATGTTACAGGAGAAAGGTGCATCATTTAGACGTGTTGAGAAATGGTCAAGTAAAAAAAGAAAAACGAGTTGAGATGCGTCGAAACGCGTCTAACGTAATCTTTTAGCTAATTTGTAAAGTACACTTTGATTTTTCATGTTTTTATAGTACGTTTAAGGCAAAGTTGACGTAAGTCACGTAACCACCCACACCGTATTGTCTAACAAATCATGGCAATGTTTCAAATATATTATTTTCGTAAATTCTTAAAACAAACCTCTTCATTATAGATGTAAACGTAATTAGATGATTAACTCTCTATATAATAAACACTATATGTTTAACTTACTTAAGCGATAACAGTTCATAATTGTTATCTGTTTACGAGAATTTAAAATGATTTTGAACAAAAAAGATTAAAAAATGACAAACGAAAATTTGGAAAATTAACCTGACTAAGATTGATAATAAACCATGAAAAAAAATTATTTAACGATTAAAATGCATGTGATTCCGTTTTTTTTTCTTGTTCACTTAGTATTTCCTTATTTGTTTTATACAATTCTAATTGATGTCGTATGTCGTATATAAACTCCAAACGTGTTGAGTTTTCGTCCTATAGCATCCAACCTTTTTTAAAAATAATAAAATACAAGAACAGTATTATTGATTTATTATATTTGGACCAATGATATTTTATGTATATATATTAGTCCAGCTAGATTGCCTCGGTGCCTCAAAAGAAGAAAACAACGACAAGCTGAAGCTCTCTCATCTTTCTATTGTGAGAATCCTAGAACCGTACACCTTCTTATCGTCTCCCCCATCGTTTATCCGTCAAGACTTGTTCTTCTAAATTTTCGTTGGGTAAATTGTTACTTCGTTTTATCACAAAAATTTCTTCCATCACTGTTTACTTAAATCTAAGTTCTTTCATTTTGCGTTCATTTATTGGGATCGTCCCTTTTTTGTAAAGTTCTTAGCCTTTTCTGCGTTTTTTAGCAATAAAATTCACGAAAGCAACTTTTCGTGATCTTTTTCAATTGCTTGCTCGATTTGGAGAAATTTCCTATTTAGGGATTGTTTCCCTTTTTTGCGCCTTTTTTCTAATCACTTTAATCTCTCTTGTTCTTCAAGCGATGAAGTATAGAACTTTTTTTTATTTGTGTAAAGGGAAGTATACAAATTTTGATGACGGATTTTCTCGTAATTGTGATGGGCGTCTTGTTTTATTTTATTTCTCTTTTAAAGTGAGGAGAATTGAAGAACCCTAATCTGATTTCGCGATGGGACAGTGGTATTGATTCGGATTCCCTCTGGTTAAATTAGAATATCCTTGGGAAGTTCTGTAAGTAGTAATGTAGTATGGTGTGTTGGATTCTTCTAATCCAGTTTAACTCAACCAGTAACCTTTATTAGCTATGATTGTTGCTAATTTGGAAATAATGTGTGGAAATAGTGATCGAATTGCAGGGCAGTAGTTTATTCCAAAGTTCATTGATGCATTGCTGTTCTTGTCACTAGTTTAGGGTCACTTGAAATCTTCAAAAACGTGGCTTTTCTATGATTTATTTTTCAGATTAGTATTCCCCCTTCTGGGTTCATATTTATAGCTGGATCTTGTTAAATACGGCCATTTTTTTTAAGTTTGGCTTATTGCCTGTGATCCTTTACTATCTGATTGAAAGTTGAACCACAGATCATCGATGTAGCATCTTCTAGTTTCTGCTTCTCTTTCTACTTTTGTGTTCTTGGGATTATGAGTGGTTTATAATCACCTAATTTCTTATTCTTTAGGTTCATCATACTCTACCCAACATGCATCTCAAGGCCCCTGAACATCAGGTTGCAGGACACATCGCTAGAGACGGGAAGCCTGGTCCCCTTGTGGACGACAAGGGCCGGTTCTTCAAGCCACTACAGGGCGATTCAAGGGGTGAAATAGAAGTGAAGTTCTACGAATCTTTCTCGTCAAACACAAAGGTCCCAGATCACATCCGTAGATATTTCCCAGCCTATCACGGCACTCAAGAAGTTGAAGGCTCTGATGGAGCAGCCATGATTGTGCTGGAAAATCTTCTTTCCAAGTACTCAAAGCCATCAGTGATGGATGTCAAGATGGGTTCAAGAACATGGTACCCTGAAGCATCCGAGGAATACATCCAAAAATGCTTAAAGAAAGACACTGGAACAACCACCGTGTCATCTGGTTTCAGGATCTCTGGTTTCGAGGTGTATGATCACAAAGAATTGAGTTTCTGGAAGCCTAACAGGAAGCTTCTTAACGGGATTAATGTCGATGGCGTGAGATTGGCTCTGCGGAAGTTTGTATCATCAAACACACTTTCTGACACGAGTTCGAAACCCGACTCTGCTTTTGCGTCCAGCGTTTACGGCGGTTCTAACGGGATCTTAACGCAATTGTTGGAGCTCAAGACCTGGTTTGAGAACCAAACGTTTTACCATTTCAACTCTTGTTCGATTCTAATGGTCTATGAGAATGATTCCATCTTAAAGGGAGACGATGATGCTCGAGCACAAGTCAAGCTGGTGGATTTTGCTCATGTTCATGATGGTAATGGCGTCATTGACCATAACTTCTTGGGTGGACTCTGTTCTTTCATAAACTTCATTCGTGATATCCTTCAGAGCTCAGATGAGTCTGCAGAAAAGTGACACTGTTCCCCTTGAAAGGGCATTAGATTTTGTTTCTATGGTTTTTTCATTTTTGCTTGGCTGATTCGATTATATACCATGTCTCCTTCGAATGTACTTAGTTATCTAAAGAGCATACATTCGTACTACAACTCTTTTCTCTTCAGTATTTTTTTCGCATATAAAAGGTTTATACATTTTTTGAACTTTTACTTTTCGATTTGTGAAGAACACTAGAGCTAAAAAAAGGTTTAGAGCCAAAAGCGAAATAATTGAGACTAATGGTAACTATTTGTAATCTTGAAGAGGTTGTTTCCGTTAAATCCCAAATATTACTAGAAGTCTAGGGAGTGAGATGAAATCGTCTCCCACTTAAATCACTCTGCTCAGCTTTCCCTTTTCAAATTCCCGTCTCGCGCGTATCGTGGAAGAAGAAGAAGAGCACAAAGATTGACTGAGAATGGTGCTACTATGTTTCGTCTTGGATCTTCGGAGTATCTCTCCTTCTCTGATCGGAGATCTTAAGCAGGTCTCTCTCGCGAAGATTATTTTCACTGTCAGTAGATTTTTTGTTCGCATATTGCTCGAAATATCTGGTGTTCGAAATTGATTGTTGCTTCGAATTCTGATGCTCGAATTTGATCTCTGTTGCGACTTTTGTAGTCGTTTCTGAATCTCGCCAATTTGCACGCTATTTCGTCTCCGGTTGATTCTCTCACCGATCGGATTGGTCTGTGTTATATCCTGAAAGATCGGATTTCCAGAAACGATCAGGTTATGCTCGTCCTCGATCGTTGTTTCCTTCTAATCTCGGTGATTGTGTGTTGTTGTTTACGTTTCGATGTATCAGTTGAAAATCGCGTACACTCCCAGTGGAAACTTCTCTCTTCGCGACTTCCATTACGCTGTTAACAGCTTGCCTTTGGATGCGTTTGTACCGGAGATTGATGAATCGGGAGCCATATCTTGCAGAGGTCTCGCTCTTCCTCTCGTTACCGATCTATTTCTTTGTAGCTCCCTGATTAAATTTCCCGCTCGTTAATTATAGTCATGAATTGTTCATAGATCTTAAGCTATCAAGTGTTCTGTGTGATCGAGCTATATACTCATGGGGAGGTAGAGACATCATGAGGAAAGTTATCGTGTTGAGTTCAAGCTTCCCTGAAGATATGGATTCGGAAGCGAAAAACACTCTTATGGTCAGCCAAATACTAGTATTTGTTAGTGCTTTTGCTTCGATTCTCAGTGATAAGTCTTTTTTTCCTTCAGGCTGCAGCAGAGAAATGTGTGTCGGTTGAGTTTCTTTTGCTTGAGAAGAGAGAAAGCCATCTGAGCTATACGCAAGAGAAGATTGATAGATTTCTCAGATGTCTGTCGGATCTTGACAATTGTTCATTTCAAACCTGCATCCCTGGTAAGTTCCAGAGGATTGCTTGCTTCTCATTTATTTTTCATAAACAGTGACTATTTATCAGATTTTTGTGTGTGGTTCTTTAGAGTAGTTTTCCTTTGCTTCGCATAAGATATCCAGGCTAGTTTAACCATTTAAATCTATTATCTGTAAAGAGGTTTTGAATCTAGCATTAGGCAATGCAAGATAGTTCCTAAACATTTCCGGAGATAGGATACTGATCTACTCTATGCATTCAGATGGAAAATCACTTCATGGCCTTGAGAAGAGATGGCTGCAGGATCTAAAGGATGATACTGGAGAATCACTGCAGGCCCAATTTATCTTCAAACGTAACCTTGTTGGCTCAGTGAACAAGATCTTCTGCAACATCACTGCATCAGCGAATCAGATTATCGACGGATTTAGCCCTTGTCGAGTACTTAACCATACCCCTACACTTGAATCTCTTATCTCCCAATAAGCTTGCACTTAGCATCCTTTTCCGGATATTGAATATATGTTCATATTGTAGGTTTCACAAGTCATTTCAGCTTAATGCTTTGTCCACTACATCTTTACATCCTCTTTGTTGCTTTTTACAGACATGCAGGTGCCACGGCATCCCATTACGAGATTCAGTGGAAATCACTACAGAGAAGCTGCAATGTTCTGTAACCAGTCATGATCTTAGAAAGCATGATGTGATTGAAAATTCTGTGAAAATAGGTGAGGGAACAGTTCTGTTTTTGCCTTCAATCCATAGCCTCCGGCAACTTCATCCAATTTCTTCCCAGATTGATTTCACTGTCATTGAGAGGACTAATCTAACTTCTGTCAATGAAGGTAACGCTTTTAGCTACTCTAAAGTAATATTCTTTCCAGGCGCTCTCATTTTTTGACTTCGCTTCTAGTCCAGAATAGAGAACTTGATTTAATTTATACTTTGACGTAGGCCTAATACTTGGGAGGCCTTACATTGTAAGCCCTTCAACATGTCAAGAAACGGAAGCTTCTTCAGAAGAAATGGATCAACCAGATCTGAACACTCAGAGTAAGCAAACTGTTCCCCTAAAAAATCCACATTTCAGTATTGTCTCATAGTTTTCCTAAGCGGCTAGAAATGCAGTTTTTCAGGGACTATGTGGTGCACTATATCCAATGGACCAAGGGTTAATTTGCTTTTCAAACTTCAATCTAGACACCATGACAGTCGTGGAATTTCATTGTTATTACATTCTTCAACCGTCAGAAAACGGCCCAATGCTTCTGAGGGTAAAACTCCATTACTGTGACTCTCTTCCTTGATTAAATAACAGAGTATCAATCTGAATAGTGAATAGCATTCTCCTTATGATATAACAAATTTGTGTTACGTCTTGAATTTGTGCAGTTTCTTAGTTTAACAGACAAAACTGTTTGCAGAGATTGGCAGGGTCAGAGGAAGTCCTGCCTATTTCCTCCAGTGTCAGTCAGCTTGCCGAGTCCTCTATTCCTACAGAAATTGAGATTTCTGTCAAAGGCGCTTTGCTGGAGGTTGAATTCATTTAAATCTTTTGAAATTCATATTTAATTACAGTATAGAGTTTTAACTTGTCTTTTCTTTCTGCTATGTAAGCAGATTGAATCAACAGACTACAATCCTCTGACCCACAACAGAGGCTTCCACGAAAAACTGAACCTCATTGTGAAAGAAAGCCTTCAATTTGGGTGATTATTCTCCTCCCTAATTTAATCATCTTCGTTAGCAACATCCCTGCAATAATGCTACAACCATCTAACTTTTTTTTTCTTTTGTTTCTTGAAGTACACTACATTCAAACACAGAAGACGCAACATGTGAAGTGAGCTCAGCAGTTTCAGATTCTGTATCTCCAACGGCACAGACGTTTCAAAACATAATAAATCCATCCATAGAAGAAGACTCACGTCAGGAAATCCAGATAACTGATGAAGAAGACAAAGCAACAGCTTCCATTACTAAAGAATGGGAACAACTAGTAGTCACTGAGGTTCTCATGAAGTCTTCTTCTCCAGTTTTAACTACACCCAAACCAAATATAAACCGCCAATTTCTGTCGCCTAACAACAAGCAGGCCGATATAAAAACGTCGATGATATTGGAAAGACTTGAAGCTCCAAGAAAGATGAGAGGAAAAGTTGGATCACCAAGCGTACTAGTCATAGGTAGTCCAACTTCACCGGATGTCTCTGTCTTGTCTCAGAAGAAGCCTCTGGTTCCTTTTCAGACTAGTCAGGTTTCCAACCACCAAACTGTCTCATCAAGCCAGCTCATGAAACCCAGCTTTCAGAGGCTTAAGAGAAAGCATAAGTGAGCTTTCAGGGTACGACTCTGTTTTTCCCTGCTTTTCTTGAAAATCCAGCACACATAATAGTGAGACTTGGAAAAGAAAGTTAATACACTTTGCTTTTCAGCTTATAGGAGAGGGGGAATACGTGTCAATATCACATATCGAAGAGACTTGAAGTACGGAGAAAAGATAATAATGTTCAGCAGTTGCGTTGAACGAGACAAACATGATCTGATGCTTGAGTTTGGTAGTTTTTTTTTTCCTTTTTGTACAAGAACCAAAACTGTATTAAATCACATTATATGTACAGTTTCTATACAAATTTCTTCAACCATGAAGCCAATGACTCAATAATACTTTTTTAAAGGCTCTTAGAGCCTAGTTAACTTATATCTCCAAACGTAATTTTTAGAAATTTTCTTTATGGAAACAGAACTTGGTGGAAGTTTTATGAGAGAAATCCAGTGCTAAATCCCGTAGCTCTTTCACTAATCCAGCTGCTCCGCAATAAAATACTCCTGCCAAATTTTATCAAACATTCACATAATCTGCATTCATAAGATGAGAGTGGTTTTTTGTTAGTCAGAAACTCACCGACTCTAGTCTTGGGATGCTTCACAGCGATCCTTTTGTAAACGCTTCTCCAGTTCGGCCTAGCGAAATGGGACATGACACGTGTTCCTGACACAACGTCAACTCCGTGTTTCGCGTGGTTCAGCGACTGGAGCATCGTGATCAGTGCAGACCTCGCGTCTCCTTCCTCGTAGACGCTGGTGCAGTAATTATGCAGCTCAATGACCTTGTTGCGGTCTGTTATGGCCACTTCGTCCATCACGTTCTTGAACCAGTCAAACGACCCTTGCTCTCTTGTGACCCAGTAGAAGTAAGCTCTCTTGGTTCTGAACATTTCACTTTTTCTTGCTGGAGAAAGAGGAGGTGTGACCATGTTGTGGTTCGGTGACCATCTTCCGTTACTGCCTCGTCCTTCCTCTTCTCCATTGCCTTTTAAGTTGTTGATTATGTCCTTGACGATGCTGATCATTGGAGTAGCTCCGATTCCTAGACCCACTAGTAGAACAACTTCGAAATTCTTGTAGTCTTGTGCTGGTGCTCCATATGGACCGTCGATTAGGATTCTTGGAAAGCTAAGGAATCACAGTTCCAAAGTTAGGGCAGTTTAGTCTCATTTTGGAAATCATCTTATGTATTCAGTACCCACTAAATGCTTCTGTGAATAACTGATGGACAGATATTGATAGGACTTACTTAGGGATGTTATTAAGGGGGCTCGAGTCGGCTCTGTTCAGTCTATTTTCATCAGGAAGGCGTGGCTTACACACCTGATGATCAGATACATACGAAGGAATCATTACATACTTGGCACAGTAAATCTCTTAGAGTTGTGTTTATGTTCAAGGGAAATTAATGGAGTCTTAAGCACCTCAGAGAATAATAGTCTTAATTGCTTAGTCCAGTCTCCTAGAACTCTTATGTGGACACTGAGGTAATCATCTCCTGGAGCCGAGGTAATTGAGAATGGATGCCTGTTTATATGCAAACCATTCTTCAGTTTGTTTCCATATATGTCTCAGATTGTATGATAGATTTTCTTATTACCATTCTAATGAAGAAACTTCAGAACAGTTGAGATACATGTATTGTCCGCTTTTGTAGCTGAAGTTGCTTGGTCTTGACATTTGAAGCGACAAGACATTCCCTGGTAACACAGCAACCTGTTGAAGAATTGAGGTCAATAATAGAGATGTATATGCATTCCTCGTCCTTGTTCTTGGATATTTCAATAGATAAATGTTTATAGGTTCGACCTTTAGTATTGAAACAGCCTCAATGCCTGACCTGAGCGCACGAATCAGCCTTTCAGACAAGTAAAGAACCACTGGTACCATCAAATACATCCATGTCTAATAAATCACATGAAAACCAAGATGAGAGTCCATATTACATCTGTTACAACTCTGTATTGAGTCTAGCGGTTGATAAGTTACCGTTTTCTTGTACCATGTCTTGATGAGGTAGACATAGTATCCGTGAACAACAAGCAGCGAGTAGACAATAACAAACAAGTGGTGAGAGTACCAGAAGGCGTTGAAGCCGGTTGTTTTCTTCAGTGGTCCAGGAAGATTGAGCTTATTACGTCTGAACCATGGCGTAGCCAATGTGAAGGCTATAGTCATTAGTATAACCATTGCAATCCCTGTAACTCCTTCCACCGACTCCACAAAGTCCATATATCTCTTCGTTTGATCCCCAAAATACTTCACCATTGGCTTATACGTCTCTTCATTTGCAGCAATCAGCCGGGGGAAATCGCAGGCTAAGTGACATGTGGCATGGATTGCAACTCCAACTGAGATTCCTATTGCAATAACCTGTGTAAGGTTCAATCATACGCATTTATCGATATCGATATCTGAAACCGTTTAATTTACTCTCCACAAATTCAACATTACCTTGTGAAAATTGAGGCTGTCATCGAAAGGAACAACAGCACCTAACTTGGTTTTGGTCCGGAGCCAAGTGATGGTGTTTCTACAAACTGGCAACAAAATCATAGCCATGTTTAGTTTAAGGGTCTCTGCAGCTCCTTTAGCTATACAAACACAAACCCCCATAACTTGGTGAGCAGATCTCTTCCTATACTGTATAAACTTCCACGCGAACAGCCCGGCCATAACACCTATCCATAGAGCCATCACCCACACTCTCTTCCAATTATCCAACACAGAATACTTCACCACTCTGTACAAACGCTCCCCGAGATTCCCACTCTGCGAAACCTTGAGCTTCTGACTTAACATCGTGCTCAGATTTTTACTCTCCCCATCTCTTATATCCTCCATTGGCGCTTGCAACAGCAGCACCTCGAGATTCTCTATCTGTTTGGCATTGTAGCAAGTGCCTTTAAACACATCAAAAAACTTGTCTAGCTTAATAACATCAACTAAAACGAACTTAGTTCACAAAACTTCACATACCATGATGTAACCATAATGATAGGGATCTAGTGTTTCCATAATCAAAGCAGCATATTCATCGGCTTGTCTCCGAATGTTATCCAGTTCGTTTGCAGAAGCACTTAGACTTATAAGCTGTACATGAAGAGGAAAAAATCTACTTATGAAGATCACAGCGAGCTTCAAGATTTCTAATACACATCACTATAAAAAAAAATTCAAATTCTACCTCTCTTACTTCGCCTCTATTCAACCTCCCATCCGCATCTCTATCCACCCTGCATTTCATACCATACTTAGAAAGTTAAAAATATGAGATTGAAAGTTCAAGTCGTATTTCAAGAAACATTACATTGCGAAGAAAGTTCGTAGCCTCGAATCAAAATCCTGATCAGTGATCTGCTTCCAAAACTCTTCAAGCTGCTTCTTGCTTATCGAATCTCCATTTACGTTTTCTCTCCTTCTTAGAGCGTCGAACAATGCCAACGCAAACTCCTTCGATTTCATCCCTGCACCAAAATCCACCAAATCACCTTGAGAGTGTTTTTTTTTGTAAATATTCATTTGAGAAAATCGACTGATTCTGCGAACCTATACATTCACCGAATCTGGAGCGATGCAACAATCCGTTGCTAGACTCGGTAATCTCATGGAACCGTTTCTCAACCCCAGGCCAACCAGCGACGCCATCAGTCTTGGTGATGAATTTGAGACCCTTGAGCGCTAGCTCTGCCCTAGATTTCGAACGGCGGAACCGAACCAGAGGCGGACGCGGCGGTTTTCTCGCCGACGAAGAAGAAACCGAAGAAGCAACTCGTTTCAGCTCGGTGGATACCGACGACGCTATGCGTTTCAATACCGAGTTACTCTTCCCCGAACGGCCTGGCCTCAGAAGCGATTTCCCTGGATCCTCGTATTTCGATCCGGCGCCGTTATGGTCCGGTGACTTCAAGCCGTACACGGAGACGGAATCTTCGTGGATATCGAGCGTAATCTCCACATACGGTTGATTTTCCCCGTAGTAATTGCTCGTCGACGCCGTGTTCTCGATAATCTCCGACGACTGGTCGCTGTACGGCGTCTCTGTGCCGCTTGGGTAGTAGGATCTCGAGTTTTCGAAGCCTAGCTTCTGCATTACACTTCGCTTCCTCGATCTTTCTTCGAACTCTTGCTTTGTGCATCAGATGCACGAAGAAGATGAAATGAACAACAAGAGAAAAGGAATTTGAAATGTTGAAAACCCAGAGAGACCAACTTTTAAATGATTGTAATTAATTTAATTAGTATTTTGGAATACCAAAAGCATACACTAACTAGCCTGGACTATTCAATACAAAAGTTTTGTTGAATCGAAAGAAATTTTCAAATTAGCATGAAAGGAGACTTTAATTTTTTATTGGAGTTGGTTAGAAATTTTCTATGAGAGTTGTTGGTACTTTCTTTGTCAAATCTCCCGCGCATTACCCAGCCACGTCCAATATGAGACTTATTATAAGTTATGGTATCAGCATTTTCAAATTTTAATTTGTTTATCGTCATATAGATATACAACTACTACATAGCTCATACTTCTAATCGAACATCGAAATCTAAATTTTTTTTTTTTTTGACAATATAGCTAAGTAATCGGATATTTCAATTGATTATGCAACCCACCATACCAGTTTAAGAAACATATTTAATTTTCTATTCACCGACTACTTGCAAAATTCATCTGTATAAGAATATGCTATGAAAAAATAGATCACGTAATTACAATTTTTTTGTTGGGTCATAACTTAATTACATCTAATAAAATTTACCGTATATATTTGAATTTTGAAGGTAAGAGAATTAAATTAACAGCAGAGTTAAAGCGGGAAAGTTTTACTATTCAGGCGAAGGGGAATTTTATCCTGCCGTCCAAACAGATAGCGAGACAGTACCAATGCCCAAGCGCATCGATTTGGGAGGGATAATCCCAGAAAGCGAAAATCAGTTTGGGGAAAGGGTTTTGCTTTCTCTCCTTTCCTCTTCCTAATTTTTTTTTATTTCAGATTTTTGTTCTTGCTTTTCTCTTCCTGAATTTTTTGAGGGCTTCTTCGTTAATTTTCTGTAATATGAAAAGAAGACATAGCGAGAAGGTTTTGATTCGTATCCACAATATCGGTACACCATTGATTTCTGGGTCTTCTGGTTTGCCCGTAGACTCAATTCACATTGAATCAGATCGTCCGTACACTATAGGTCGAAGAAGTAATGGGTTGAGTGATTTTGTCCTTGATCATGGCGGTATCAGTAGAAAGCACGGTCAGATTCTATTTGATAGCCAAAGTAGCAAACTTTTCATTTTTGACGGCGTGATTCTCTTGCCTTCAAGTGGTTTTAGTCAAGCTTTTGATGAGCTTAGGAGAAGATCGGTTAGCGTTGATGAGCTGCACAAGGAAAACAAGGATTTGGCTAGTTTAAATTATAGGGTTTCTTTGAATGGGGTGTATGTTAATCGTGTTAGGGTTAGTAAAGCCAAATTTCAGGAGATTTCAAGTGGCGATGAGGTGTTGTTTGTTTGCGGGAAGGAAGGATTGTGCTATAAACATGGTCGAGTTGGGTTTTTGGTTCAGGAGATTGATTCTGGAAGAGATATTTCAAGTTCTGAAGATAGATGTAGAATGATTGGAGCACCGGTCTCTTCAGGACATTCTAGAGGAACTGTTTCCAGTGGGAAGAGAAGCAAAAGGGTTTTTGCTCCGATGGAAAACGAAATTAATTCTCCTGTTTCCGGGTTTTATCCACCCAAATCTGTTGGTGTTATTGAGAGATTGAATTCTCTTGTAAGCTATTGTAGACATATATTGAGCAGCGATGATCCTCTATCTTGCCTTAGGTTATCTATCATATCAGATTCTGGAAAGCAATGCCTATCCTGCTGTACAACCAAACTGGTAAGGTCAAAAGTAGGTATAGTGGCCGATAATAGAGAAGTCAAGGGTGCCGAGACAAATCATGACTTGGGTCATGGTTTGTCTGGTTTACGAGTAAGTGATGCACGGCCAAGCCCACAATTACCTATAGGTACAACCTTAGGTGTCTCAGACTTGGTTAGCGAAGCAGAAGATTATGGCGCTGCTTGTATTTCTGTCAGTGATAAGACTAGGACTATACTTCCTTTTGATGGGGGAAAGGAAAGTACTCCTGATATTAGTTGCATCGGTGAGGAGAAAAGTTATGGAAGTTCTCTCCAAACACCTGGGAAGAACTTTTATTTAAATCGTCTTCAATATTTTGAAGAAAATTCAACTGGTCGTCAACGGGTGGTTTCCTTGCCAGAACTTCTTTACCCTGTGGAAAGCATTTCAAAAATCTTCATTGCAACATTTACAAGTGATATCTTATGGTATGTCCTATTTTTTTTCTTTTTTCCATTATTTTCCCTAGTATTCTAAACAGAAGAAACGGATAGTGTATCCTCATTTTTTCCCATGCTTGTTCAAGAGTCTGACAAAGTTGTCTTCGCAGGTTTCTTACCTGCTGTGAGATACCTAGTACTTTGCCTGTGACTGTTGCATGTCACCATGCTGAAAGATGTTGGAGCTCTAGCCTTGATGCAAGAACGGCTGCTCCTTTGGAAAATTACCCAAATGTAGCTGTGGTGTACGTAATACCGGATCATATTCCCCTTAAAAGATATTGATTCATGGTTATTTTTTCTTGTTTGTTACTAAATACTTTATCACTTCATTTCTAACGAGTGTTCATCTTGTCTTAGGTTTCCACCATTTCCTGAGGAAATTGCATTTGGGAAAGACCGCAAGAACCGCGGCATTGCTTGTCATCACCCCAAGCTGTTTATTTTGCAAAGAGAAGATAGTATTCGTGTAATTATTACGTCTGCAAACTTAGTAGCAAGACAGGTAGGAGTGTATGCCTAAGTTTATAGAATGAAAGGAATCATAGATGAGTCTGGCGCTGTGATGTTTCAAGTATATTCAGAGATTTTTTTATCATAATTCATTTTCTGATGGGAGATTTATAATTCCAGTGGAATGATGTGACCAACACAGTCTGGTGGCAAGATTTTCCACGAAGAGCAAACCCTGATTTCTTATCCCTTTTCGGCCATTGTCAAAAGGAAACCAATCGTGGTTTAAGGTCAGATTTTAGTGCTCAGCTGGCTGGATTTGCTGCGTCTCTTTTGGCTGATGTTCCAAGTCAAGCCCACTGGATTCTGGAGTTCACAAAGTACAACTTTGAACACTCAGCAGGTCACCTTGTGGCTTCAGTGCCTGGAATTCATTCTTATAGGCCGTCTTATCTTATAGAATCTGCTCGCTCAAAAATTGTGAGTAGTATCATCTTCCATCTTTTGTGTATGGATTCTCCGAGTGAAATCAATATCTTGACGCCATTTTTTATTGGTTCACTGTTAGCCGATGTTAAAAATTTGTTGCATCCCTTTCTTGACTAATCATATGGTTCTTGTTGCAGTCTTTCAAAGAAGAATATCTGGGATCTGTTGAAGCATCTGCTGTTGGCCTCAGTTACCTTTTTCGTTCTGCCAATGATTCTACAGGCACACAATTGAAACGACTGGCTTCATATATCAGCCGAACCCAGGAAATTTCTCTCGGAATGTTGGAACTTGTTTTGAGAAGAAATACCAATGTGCCTGCTGACGTGAATGCAGTGAGCGTCCTTGTTCCTAACCCTGATGATGATTCGCAAGACGGTAAGTAGTTTCATGTAAAATAGATGGTAATATGTCCTTGATATTAATTTTCATTCTGTGACTTATACAAATTGCCTTGTGACAGAGTTTGTCCAACTAGGCTTTTTGCCTCGGAATATTGCAAAATGGGTTTCTCCTTTGTGGGATATTGGGTTAATTAAATTTGCGGGATATGCGTATCGGGATGAAGTCCTTGCAGCTGCTTCTTGTAGGAGCAACCAGAAGGTGCAACTGATGCTGCATGTATTACAGGCATGGTACTTTTATTATATGTTAATGAGATACTTTGCATAAATCGCCTATGGATACATCGGATTATATCTCTTGACTTTTGCAGGGAGTGTCCATGTCTGATATGTCAAAGTTGATTCAACCTCATCATGTTGTTGCGCTGTGCTCTTTAATCGCTTCACTTCAGAGATGTACTGGCATTTGGAGGCTACAAGAGGTAACTTTGATGGCTAATAAGAACAACCGAATAGTGTTTTCACCCTTGATTTTTAACGATAGTGTATTAGCCTTTAACTACGTGATCCTCTGTATTGGTCCTCAAAAGGTGTTAGGCCGTTACAAGTGGCCCGAATCTCAGGAATCAGATTTCGTCTATAGTAAGTTCATTGTTACTAGTTATCGTAGATAAATACCTTAACAGTACTACGGCAGGGTATTAAGCTTATTGTTTGTTTTTTCTTATAATAGGTGCATCCTCGATTGGAGGCTCAGCAACTGCAAGCTTTCAAGCTGATTTTTCATCAGCAGCAGGTAAAAAAGCGTTACAGCATTTTAACTCCCAGGAATCTGATCCAGAGGTACTGTTTTTGTTTTGAAGCACCCTTAAAAGTTTCCACCACAAAGTTATGTGCATGAAACGTTTGGTCCATGTTCTTGATCAGTGGGGATGCTGGAGTGCTAGGGAAGAACGGGAAGCTCCTTCCATTAAAATCATCTTCCCTACCATTGACAGGGTCAAAAATGGCCATCATGGTGTCTTGTCTTCAAAACGTCTGCTTTGCTTCTCCGAGGTATATTGCTTATTTTGCATATTTTATGCCCACAGTCTCTGTCCAGGAAGAAAGGAAAAAAAATTGCTTTGGAATGATAATAAAGTGTGGAAAAATATGAATCTCATAAAACTTGTCTTTTTGATTGTCATGTGCAGAAAACCTGGCAAAAATTGAGACATAACAACGTGCTTCATGATGCAGTTCCTAATCCGCCGGATAGACTAGGGCACCCGATGCATATCAAGGTAAGAACAAAAGAGAACTGTGTGTAAACAGTTAAATGACTTGAGAATTGGCAAAAACGGTACTTAACACAGTAGTTACAATGTCTTTATATACTATGAACAGGTGGCCAGGAGACGCTTCACCTCCACCAGAGGTTCACGGTTTTCTTCGTTTGGTTGGGTTTATTGCGGCTCACATAATTTCAGTGCAGCTGCATGGGGACAGACCATTTCCAGATCCTCCAGGAACAATGAGGACCAGTCCCACAATGCCATCAGATCGGTCAATAAACTTCGTGTATGCAACTACGAGCTGGGCATTGTGTTTGTTTTTCCTCCACCTAATGAAGAAATGGACTCATGGGATGGATCTAAGATTGATGATATTGTGTTGCCGTTTGTTGTACCGGCTCCAAAATATGGACGGAGTGATAGACCGGCTACAGGTTTGGCTATGAGGGAAGCTTTTGCTGAGTTAAGGGAAGGCTCTAGAAGTTTCTGTGGAGAAACTGAAGTTGAAGAAGAAGTAGAAGAAGAGGAAGAAGAAGAAGAAGAAGAAGAAGAAGAAGAAGAAGAAGAAGAAGCTGAAGGAAGAGGAGATTTTGCTGCAGAGGAGGAGAAGGCTTATGCTGAGGCATTGTGGAGCCAGGTTGAGTCCTCTCTCAGCTCCTGAAAGATTACGCTGCTTTGGAATATGACAGATTTGCCCTCCGTGTATGTATTGCTAATTTGCTATGTAACCACTAACCAGTGTTGTTTACAAAGAAAAATGAAATTGATTCTTTTTTTGTTGTCAACAATGACAACAAATGAAAGTGATTCAGACAAACTATAACGGAAACTACAATATTGAAAAAAGAGGGGATTTTGAGGTTATATGATTTAGCTGAAAAAATAGATATTCGAGTGGATATAATTTTTTATAAATAATCATTACATCAACATTTGAATTTCTTTGTCAACCTTTGAATGTTTAGAATAAGTAAAGTTGAATAAGTAAATTTATTCCTAGCTAGAGAAATTATAGCTAGCGTGATATAAAAAAATGGATAGCCACAAACAATAATAGCAAACGAAAATGAATCTCAAAAAATTCCAGTCTCCTTCCCAGTATATAAACCCCATTGCCATCTTCCCATAAAGTCATCCAGAAAAAAAAAAAAAACAAAAAAAAAAGAATTTTTTTTTCTTTTCTTTTTAAATAAAACAAAAAAAAATATAAAAAAATAATAATGGGATACACAAATGTGTCCATATTATTAGTAGCCGCCCTGGTCGTGGTGTTTGTTTCACCGATGGTGTTGGCAGATGATACAACACCAATCCCAGAGGCCAAACCCCAAGTGGAACAGTGGTTCAAGACCAACGTTGGTCCTTTAGCTTCGCGTAAAGGCACTTTAGATCCAGCTCTCGTAGCTGCGGAGGCTGAGCCACGTATCATCAATGTATGAAACAAACCTAGCAAATATTAAAACTCTCCCAAATTATTAAACTATATGATATTGGAATCATCATGTTATATATATTGCAGGTGAATAAGAAGGGAGGTGAATTCACAACACTAACGGACGCATTAAAGAGCGTACCAGCAGGGAACACAAAGCGAGTGATAATAAAGATGGGTCCTGGTGAGTACAGAGAGAAAGTCACTATCGATAGAAACAAACCTTTCATTACATTGATGGGACAGCCTAACGCAATGCCCATTATCTCCTTCGATGGAACTGCCGCTAAGTATGGAACCGTAGATAGTGCCTCCCTCATCATTTTATCCGACTATTTCATGGCCGTCAACATCGTCGTTAAGAATACAGCGCCAATGCCTGATGGTAAAACAAAGGGAGCACAAGCTTTGTCTATGAGAATCTCCGGAAACAAGGCTGCTTTCTACAACTGTAAGTTCTATGGTTTCCAAGACACGATCTGTGACGATACCGGAAACCATTTCTTCAAGGATTGTTACGTTGAAGGGACATTCGATTTCATCTTTGGAAGTGGAACCTCTATGTACTTGGTACGTCTACTTATCCTAGACGTACATTCTTGATAATATAATACATAAAGCCTAATGCATGCATGTACGTTAAAGGGAACACAACTGCACGTGGTGGGAGATGGAATTAGAGTGATTACAGCGCACGCGGGAAAGAGCGCAGAAGAGAAGAGTGGATACTCTTTCGTGCATTGCAAGGTGACTGGAGACGGTAACGGAATCTATTTAGGTAGGGCATGGATGAGCCACCCTAAGGTTGTCTACGCTTACACCGAGATGACCAGCGTCGTCAATCCTTCCGGATGGCAAGAAAACAAGATGCCCGCACATGACAAGTAAACTCCTATAGCTAGCTATTCTCTCACTATTTACATATATCATAATGTTACCATAATGCATGGTTCGATCTAACTTGGATTTTGTTTTTTGACAGGACCGTGTTCTACGGAGAGTACAAGTGCTCGGGACCAGGATCACACAAAGCCAAGAGAGTTCCATTCACGCAAGACATTGATGCCACTGAAGCTAACCGTTTCCTTTCCCTCGGCTACATCCAAGGATCCGCGTGGCTTCTCCCACCTCCCGCTTTGTAAACGCTTTAATATATATTAACCTTTACAAATTAAAAAAAAAAAAACTATACTTATACACTTATTCACCGAGAATATGTATATCGATCGGTGTATTTTTATTTTAATTTTGGCTGTATTTTTTTTATTTTGTTTTCCAAGAGTCCTCTCTTAGTTGAGAGTTGAGACTTCTTAGTTGAGAGTTGAGACTTGTGTAATTTTTGGTTTCATTACATTAATATGAAGTCTCGTCGGTTCATAACTCTTGTATATTCGTTCTAATTACCCAATTGATATATTTTTATTACTGAGGGCCTGAGACTCGTATTTATTTTGTCTCGAGGATTGAAAATTTGAATTTTTTTCAATATATTTGATAAATAATTATAAGACAATAACATAGTACTATCACTTTTTTATTTTTATTTCATGTTCGTGGAATTGTATGTGCAGACCACTATTATTACGAACCTGAATTCTTACAGAGACCATGAATCCTATACCCAAACTCACACAAATTTTTTGACAAATCGGGTACGATCTCAAGTCTTACCACATAAGACGCCTATCATGCAAATTATTTTTATTACATAGTTCAATCAAATAGCATATTTTACTATTTAAGCGATAATATATTTGTGATCGATACAATTCCCCAATACTTAATGGTAAAAGTTAATTTGGAGATGATTTGTAAACAAAATCGTTAAATGTGCATTGTTTTAGCATTTGATTACCAAAACAATTTTTGCTTCTTCATTGGCAAGTTAGTCTAGCATTTTTTTGTATATGATTCTGTAATCTTAATTTTCAATTTTTTTTTTTGCAGAATAAATTTCGAAATATTTTTTTATAGAAAAATTAGAAACCATATTTTGGTGGAAAATTAAAAATCGTAATATGCTTAATAAATGTGAGATTATATTTTGGTTAGAAATTATGATTGCGTAATGTTGCGAAAAATATACAGTGTTAGAGGAAAGTTGTTGGATTCTGTGATTTTTTATCACTTGACACCAACTACCGTCATAGACAATACAAATAAATGACAAAAAAAGAGAGTAACAAACACAATTTAAAAGCCAAAAAACAGGGAAAATCTTGACGTAAACAAACCCAAGTTAATTACCACTTGAGTCCTCTAGTACATTCAAACACAAAATGTAATTTGGGTCAATTCATAAATAGAAAATATAATAATAGTCTTTTTCAGAGGGGCCAATCAACATTTTGACTTTGCAAACTGTAACTTTTCCTTTATTGGATAAATTAGGTGGTGATACAAGAATTTAAAATTATAGTCAGATATTCAAAAATGCTTCAACAAATATAAACCACAAACGAGAATAGTAAAAATTAGACATGTCCGGTCAGACATCGACGAGCAAGACAAGTATATAAACACCTTCAATACTTCTTCATTTCTTCCATTTTAAAATTCAATAACCTGGTAGTAACACTAGATTTTTTTATTTGGTTCTGTTCCCTTTTCCATTATTTTCTTTTATTTTGTAAAAGAAATAGAAGAAAATAATAAATAGTAGAATATAATAATAAAAGATGGGTTCCATTTCTCTGGCCATAGTTGCATTCTTTGTCGCTTTTGCCTCTCCGGTGGTTCTAGCAACCGATACAGCGCCGATTCCAGAAGACAGATCCCAAATCCCGGAATGGTTCAAGACCAACGTTGCACCTTATTCTCAGAGAAAGGGAACCCTAGACCCCGCCCTCGATGCTGCTGAAGCATCTCGACAAGTTATCACCGTAAGTTACATTTAATATAGAATTATAGATCTTATATCCATGCATATATGTTAATTCGAATTTTAAAACTGAAAATATCACTGCAGGTGGATCAAAAAGGAGGCGGCAATTTTAAGACAATAAACGAAGCGATCAAGAGCATTCCAACGGGAAACAAGAACCGTGTGATCATCAAGTTGGCTCCAGGTGTATACAATGAGAAGGTCACGATCGACATAGCTCGACCATTCGTTACATTGCTTGGTCAGCCTGGTTCAGAAACGGTCTTGACTTACCACGGGACGGCCGCTCAATACGGAACCGTTGAGAGTGCAACTCTTATCATCTGGTCTGATTATTTCATGGCAGCTAACCTCATCATCAAAGTATGTGAATTATATATATTCGTTCTACGTATGTTATTACATTGCATTAAAGATTACTTGCTCGTTTAAAACCAAAAAAACAAGATTACTTGCTTATTACCTAATGTATGTGTATATGTTATTCTGTAGAATACTTCTCCTATGCCGAAACCAGGTTCACAAGGACAAGCTCTAGCTATGAGGATCAACGGTGATAAGGCAGCTTTCTACAGCTGTAAATTCCACGGTTTTCAAGATACTCTCTGCGACGACAAAGGCAACCATTTCTTCAAGGACTGTTACATCGAAGGAACCTACGATTTTATCTTCGGAAGAGGAGCTTCCTTGTACTTGGTAAGCTTAAATCATCAGACCTCAACTAACATATTTATTAATTATAATTTATAACATTTTCAACTTATACGTATATTTGTATATGAATCTATAGAACACGCAATTGCACGCTGTTGGAGACGGATTAAGAGTGATCACGGCACACGCACGAGAAAGTGAGAACGAACAAAACGGATACACGTTCGTGCACTGCAAAGTCACTGGAACCGGAACCGGGATCTATTTGGGCCGGTCTTGGATGAGCCACCCAAAAGTCATCTATGCTTTCACAGAAATGACCAGCGTGGTCAACCCATCTGGCTGGAAGGAAAACCTCCAACACGGATATGACAAGTAACATTTTATATCATCTCATTTATATACACATAAACTCAACAAGTCATAATTCACAAATTTGATTATTAACTCGAACCGGATATTGTGTGTCGTATAAAAATGCAGGACGGTGTTCTATGGAGAATACAAGTGTTTCGGACCAGGGTCACACTTAGAGAAGAGAGTGCCTTTCACACAAGATGTTGACCAAAACGAAGTTAGGCCTTTCCTCACTCTTGGTTACATTAAGGGCTCCACGTGGCTACTTCCTCCTCCTAAATTCTAAATTTTTTCTTCTTAAGATTTCATGTATTCTAAAAATTTTCTTCTTAAGATAAAATATTGATTGCAACAGTCCTTAATCCTTTAACCAGCGAAATGTTCCCATCTTTTTTTTTGTATCGCTTGAGATATAAAATTATTCAATTCATTCGTTTCAATTTTATTGCCCAGAAGTTTGTGGTATTATATGTTATATATATACACGTAATTATTGAGCATTAATATCTTCAAACGAGATTTTCTATTTATGTATATTAAAACCAAGTTAAGCTATGTTCGCACACCATTGAGTTCATGATATGTTGAAGTACAAAAATAAATTACGTATAATGTACTTGCTAGATGTCAACGTTTTATAGTTCTAGTTGCAAATTTTCTGTTTTAATATTCATCTATAATAGTATAATTTAGGTTATTTATACGACTAACCACAAAGAGATGCCTGCATTAAAATTAATCCAATTAATTAAAGACACAACAAGGTCAAAAGGAAAGTAAACATTTGGGATAGGGACGCCAAAGCCGCCGAGTAGCCGCGTCACATCCAGGTAAGCAAAGAGTCGCAATCCAACTAACAAGAAAAAAAAAAATCAATCAAGCAACGTGTGCTGGGCCTGACTCAGATTCCGAATCTGGTTCTTACGATTCAAGACCATCCAATTTTCAACGGCTCAGATTGCTTACTAGCATTAGTACGACATTGTCACGTCCAGGGAATCATACCCATAATGACGACTCACTCCTTGTTTTCCGCATGTCCCCTTGATAAAAATTGACGGTCATTTTTTTTCTTCCTTTTTTTGTTCACGTTTTGTTGGTCATAGACTCATATTATATGGTATATATATATAATTTTTTTCATGGGGGTCATATTCTATGGTATATTCGGATTTTTTTTTCCGGCAATTCTATGCTATATTCGGATTAATCAATTATTGTTTCACTAATTGCCGTAAAAAATCACCATTTTTGGCGAGATGTGCCTAAAATGCCCTTTCAATAGTGATTCTTTCATGGTATTTTGGCATGCTTTGATGCTTCATGGGAGTTCATTGCACCGGATGCAAAAAAATATATGTTCTTCTAACGTAGACCTTATCTTTCTAAAAAAACGTGTACTTTATGTAAGTAGGTCTGAACGTTTATCCATAAATTCGTGAATCTATTCTATTTCTATACGAAATTTCTTATGACGTTATAAGCCATACGAGATTATTTTTGGAAGATAAAAAAAGTCAAAAAATTATGTTTAACATTGCTAATAAGTAATAATAACGCCGTCCCTAGTTGTTGACTAAACATAGCAAAAAATAACACCGTCCCTAGTTCAGATTTTAACCAAAAGTCAATAGTGCTAAATCATCTGTCCCAAGCTCCAACCTTTTTGGGGGTCCACGTCCCGTCACAAAATTAATAACAAACATATCTCATCTCATTTTCCCCTCATTTATTTAATTAAATATATCTCTTTAAAAAATCCGTAATTTTATAAATCTTTCAATTAATTATCTAGCAAAGCACTTTTTGCTATTTCTAGAATACAAATATTTAAGAAATTTATCTTGTCTTTATTTGCTTTTATTAAGCTTTCTGGTGTATTCTACTTACAAATAAAGTTTTAGCCAGTTGAATATATCTTTCAACTCATAAGTTCTATGTTTTTGTAAGATGTTTGGTATACTTTAAACGCAAAAAAAAAAAGGATGTTTTAATAAATTTCCGTTTCAATTGAGCTAAAATAACTTTATATAGATCTTCTGTTTTCGTCATTTTCTGTTATCATATATAGATTTTTAAGCATTTGTTTTTTTTTTTTTGGTTGGTATACTGAGATGTTAACTTTTTGGAGATATGTTTGACTTGAAAAAGACAGAAAAAAAAGATTTTTTGGGGAAAAAAAGATAGACGAAAGCTAATTGAAGGCAAATAGATAATTAGGGGGTAAAAGCGTCATCTAATGGGATAAGAGAGTTTTTTTTGTTTAGTCTCCGTCTGGCGCATGATACGTCAAAAATATCCAAATCTCCATTCAAATTACGCTTTCTCTTCTTCCCCTACAAATACTCCTTTCTTCTTCCTCTCATTAGCCCATTCGATCACAAAATCCAAAATCCGCTTTTACCTTTTAGCGTTTCATTTGACTTTGATTCGATTCTTTTTTCTTCCAACTCTCTTGTTTTTTTCCTTCCCATTTCTTCTGGTGGATTTCTCCGATCCACCCAGATACAAATTTGTTTTCAGTTCTTTAAAACCTCGGATCCTCCGATCACTTTGATTTGATTCTTTGTTCCTTCTAAGTTCAAGTTTAAGTGAGCCATGAATGCTTTAGCCGCAACAAACAGGAACTTCCGCCATGCATCGCGAATCCTGGGTTTGGATTCGAAGATCGAGAGGAGTCTTATGATCCCGTTCAGAGAAATCAAGGTTTCGAAAACTGAAACAAAATTTTCCGACTATTTTATTGGGATTTTTCACGCTTTTTTTTGTTTTGGGAATTCTACTCAATTTCTGGGATTTTCGACTGTGATTTCAGGTTGAGTGCACGATACCCAAGGACGATGGAACTCTGGTTTCGTACATCGGATTTAGGGTTCAACACGACAATGCTCGTGGACCCATGAAAGGTGGAATCAGATATCATCCTGAGGTAGGTCTCACCTCTTTTCAGTTTCGTGGATTTAATCATTTCGGTGGATCTTTCGTCGTCGCTTTGCTAAAAAGCTGAGTTTCACCTTTTTCCTGAGTTAATTAATCATTTGTTCTCGATCTAGGGTTTAGAATTGAAATTTTGGGGGTATTGTTTTTCAATTGGACAACTGTAATTGGTCTTGAACGGAACTGAATTCGATTGAATCTGGAAATTCGGAACTCTCAAAGTTTTAGTTTTGGTTTGAAGGTGGATCCCGATGAAGTGAACGCACTGGCTCAGCTAATGACCTGGAAAACGGCTGTAGCAGACATTCCATACGGTGGAGCAAAAGGTGGAATCGGATGCAATCCTCGTGACTTGAGCTTGAGCGAGCTCGAGCGACTCACTCGCGTCTTTACCCAGAAGATCCATGATCTCATCGGTATTCACACCGATGTCCCTGCTCCTGACATGGGAACAAACGCTCAAACCATGGCTTGGATTCTTGATGAGTACTCCAAATTTCATGGTCATTCCCCAGCTGTTGTCACTGGAAAGCCCATTGTAAGGGTCTTGTGGTTTTGATTACATCATTTCTGTTGAATCTGATTGTTGTTCCTTGATTTGAAGTGATTGACTATTCGATGTTTCTGTTTAATTACCAACGTTTTGAGCTTTTTGGTATAACTGTTGTATCACTTTCGGTGTAGGATCTTGGTGGCTCACTTGGTAGGGAAGCTGCCACAGGACGCGGTGTAGTCTTTGCCACCGAAGCTCTTCTTGCTGACTACGGGAAATCGATTAAGGGCTTGACATTTGTTATTCAGGTAAAACCACTAACAGCTAATCTCATATCTCAAGCTTAATCTTGTATTGTCAGAGAATATGAAAAAGAAAGAAAGTTGAGAGATTTGCATTGGTGTGACAGGGTTTTGGGAATGTTGGGACATGGGCAGCCAAGCTGATCCACGAGAAAGGAGGAAAAGTGGTAGCGGTAAGCGACATTACAGGTGCGGTCAGAAACCCTGAAGGTATCGACATCAACGCACTTCTGAAACACAAAGACGCAACTGGAGGTCTCAATGATTTCAGTGGCGGAGACGCTATGAACTCAGACGAACTGCTCATCCATGAGTGCGATGTTCTCATCCCTTGCGCTCTTGGCGGTGTCCTGAACAAGTCAGAACAAAAACTTTCTCTTATCAAATCAACACCACTCATAGAAACAAGAGATTCTCAGTTTCTGATTCTTTCTTTTTTCCAATCTTTTTCTCAGGGAAAATGCTGGAGATGTGAAGGCAAAGTTCATAGTAGAGGCAGCAAACCATCCAACCGATCCAGATGCTGATGAGGTAAGGCAGCAAACCATCCATTACACTAAAACCCATCCCTAGAAGGCTAGAACCTCTCAAAATCTGATGCTAATGTGTTTTGATTATTGGCACAGATTCTGTCGAAGAAAGGAGTGATTATACTTCCAGATATATACGCAAACGCAGGAGGAGTGACGGTGAGTTACTTCGAGTGGGTGCAGAACATTCAAGGGTTCATGTGGGAAGAGGAGAAAGTGAACCTGGAGCTGCAAAAGTACATGACTCGAGCCTATCACAACATCAAGTCAATGTGCCATACTCATTCCTGCAACCTTCGTATGGGAGCTTTCACTCTCGGAGTTAACCGCGTCGCTCGAGCCACCCAGTTGCGTGGTTGGGAAGCTTAATTCAATTGAATTCCCATCCCCACCATATACTCTTTCTCTGTTTTTCCCCTGTATTTGTTTCATTTTTACTGAAAATCATTGAGGCTCCGAAATGGAAAAGAAAACGAATGAATTGAATAACTAACAGAATGGAATAAAAAAAAATATTGAAATTTTTATGGTCCCTTGTAGACAGATTTTTACTGTACACTTTGCTAAAATACAACAAATCTTCTTGCTCTTGAAACTTAAATTCGAAAATATAAAGTGACTTCAAATTTCTGAAATGTGAAAAAAAGGAATTTTAAAGGGTGCTAAATACGTTAAAAAGATAATGAGCAACATGTTATGAATATTCAACGATTTGTGTTTATTTAAGACCACTGATGTCTGAATCTTATATCTTTTTATCACTGATGATGCTGATGCTCAAATCGGTGTCTTCTGTTATTTATTTTTTTCTCATGAATATTCTACGGTATATCACGCATATTCTACGTATATCGTATAATATTCTACGAAAACCAAGACCCAATAACAAATGGGCCTATAAATAATGGTCTCAAATGACACTGAAAAATAAGTATCGGCCCAAATGTGTATATTAGAACCCACAACTTTATTATGAAGTACAGAACTGAATATTACAAATCAACACACAAACAAACATATAAAAAAGGATGTAATGAGAATCCTCTGTTTTGGAAGAGGGAGGAACAAAGGCTTGTAGTTAGCCGTAGCAGCGGATAGGGTCCTTGCAGCTCTTTGCAGGGGATTGCGCGTTGCCATACCTCCCACCTTTGGCTAGGTAATGCTGATGGTATTCTTCAGCTTTGTAGAATTTCTTTGCCGGTAAGATCTCAGTCACGATCTTCTTCTCCAGTTTCTTCTGCTCATTCTCTAGAGACTCGCGTGCTAGTTTCTCTTGCTCTGCTGTGTAGAAGTATATACCTGATCGGTATTGAGCCCCCACAAGTTTTCCCTGTAACAGTTCCAATCATGGCTAAAACAATGAGGATAAGCACCATCATCAAAATATTAAAGTTTTATATGATCAGGACAACTGGACAAGTAACACAAACTCTCTTTTAAAGCATTATCATACCAATTCTTTCTCTGCACCAACCAATAGAATGTCAAAAGAGAGAAGTTTAATACGTAAATAACTAGTATTTGACAAGAAGACTCCAGCAAAAGAGTCAACAAAAGGTCAAGGATTCTTGACTGTAGGACTAATTAATCCTCATACTCTCCATGGATTATTACAAAATCAAGAGCCATTGAATCAACGAATTCGACCAGAAATCCGGTTTAATTTCACATAATTTAGACCACCTAAACCGTATATCCTATTTAAGAGAGGAAGAAACACACAAAACCAGAGAAACTAGAAAAAAAAACCGATACCTGGCGATTCAAGGTGGTGGGATCATGCCTAGACCAGAACAAATCAAGCAGCGTCTCATAGGTGCACTCATTGGGATCATACTGAACCCTAACAACCTCTGCATGGTTCGTTGTGTTTGTACAGACATCCTCGTAAGTCGGATTATGCGAGATCCCATGAGTGTACCCAACCTCAGTCTCGGTCACGCCAGGGATCCTCTGGAAAGCAAGCTCCACTCCCCAGAAACATCCTGCGGCGAACTCGGCAAACTGGTTTCCCGGCGCCGGAATATCGTTGTCGGGCTCCTGAGCTATCGGGCTAGGAACGATTGCAGCAGGTTTCTCTACTAACTGAGGCTTCTCAGTTATCGGACAAGGATCGATTGCAGCAGGTGCTTGTACTAATTGAGGCTCTTGAGCTATCGGACAAGGATCCATTATTGCTATATCGATATGACAAAGGATTCGAGTCTGTGTATTGTTTGATGGTGAAGCATCAAGAAGGATAGTTTATTTGTTTATATAGAAAGAGACAGTCAGAGATTGGTACCTACCTAAAGGCCTATATTATAAACAACGATCTTTGACACACAAGAAAAATACATTTAATATTTAATATCAACTGTTATTATTTTCTTTTTAACGTAATTAATCAAGATTTATGTTGATGAATTGTAACTTTTATAACAAAATATATTCCAACAACCATGATTAATTGAATGATTACTATGATTTTTCTAATTACAAAAGTCACGTTTATTTTGTGTGGTATATGATAAATCTAGAACATTATTAAAAGGGAATGCGCAAATGGCAATACGAAACCAAGGTTACGGCCACTAGTCCACCACCTATCCATCAGACTTTGTCTTTTATTATCCATAAGATTCTCTTACATTCAACAATTTTATAGTATCAACAAATCATTGAAACGGTCATCACGAGTCGCTATAAACGTTATTGGTTGAAAACGAAGGCAATTTGTTTAACTTATTAACGATAGCGATGATTGTTTTAGTTTATGTTCATATTGTGTAACATCAAAATATTACAGAATTGCAAATAAAATTTCAAAGAAGTAGCATAACTTACTTCATCAGTTTTTACACACACGTCCATAAAAATCCTCTGGTTTGGGAGAGAAGCAGAGTAAACCAGCTTTTTTTTAGCCGTAGCAGCGGATCGGGTCGGTGCAGCCTTTGGCAGCGGACTGCCCGAGACCAGACCGCCCACCCTTTGAAAGGTACTGCTGATGATATTCCTCAGCTCTGTAGAATTTCTTAGCCGGCAATATCTCAGTCATGATCTTCCTCTCCATTTCTAGCTGGTGGCGTTCCAGTGACTCCCGGGCTAGTTTCTCCTGCTCGGGTGTATAGAAGTATATACCAGATCGGTATTGTGTTCCCACATCATTTCCCTGATCACAGTTAAGTCGTAAGCCAAAGTATCGATTTTGTAGATATATAGAAAGCAGAAAGCTTCACCCGAAGAAGACCATGACCGTAACACTTATCTAGAGAAATCACAGTAGATAATTAGTCAAAAATATTGGTTAAGTGTATGCATATATGATGCCAATGCAAGTCAGAGAAGATGTAAATGCAAACTGAAGTTTCATGCACAAGACTATCTGAATTTACCAAAAAAAATAGGATATTTGTCCATCAGGTTAATGCAATACAAGGTTAAAGACAGATATTGCTAAAACAATTGACCCTGTCCCTAACCTTTAATGACCGCTTAAGCCAGGACCAATCAAGTTATCACTGTAGATCAAATGTCACCCACAGTTTTGGGATTTGAAAATTACATAAGCGATAGAATTCGAGATGTAATTTGCCTAGTACCTTAACGTGATAGCTTGACTATAATAAGCTAGTGAATCGCCTCTAATAAAGCTACCACTTGAGTATCATTCTCTAGATAGAGGTAAGGAGAATGTTGAGTAAAACGCACATCTAACATGAAAGCCAGTGATGAAGCGGATCAAGAAGATTCTCTCTGAAGCATTACTACTAGGCCTAATAACTACATCTACTCCACCAATCAATGAAACGAGCGATTCAAGAAGGGGAGCAATAGAGGAGAGAAAACAGAGCTACATTAGCTTGATTCAAAACCAAAGTTAGCTGCTTTAAGCCTCATAGTTCAACAAAAATCTAAAATTTAACATCAATTCTTTCTGACTAGTGTTTTCAACTCGCAACCTTGTATCCTAACTGGATGACTGATGTTCCAAAACGAGTGTATTTCTCAGAGTTTGGTAATGAAATCAGAAAGCCGTTGAATTTGGGAAAATCAAGAAACCCAGCAGAAAAAGTCTCAGGCTTGTAATTTGACCCAAAAAAGAAAACACCATCTCAAATTCGCAAACGTCAAAAAGCCTGAACCTTGGGAACAAATTCGTACCTGGCGATTCAAGGTGGTGGGATCATGTCTAGACCAGAACAAATCAAGGAGAGACTCGTAGCTGCAATCTTTGGGATCATACTGAACCCTAACAACCTCGGAATGGCTGGTGGTGCCCGAACAGACATCCTCGTACGAAGGATTATGGATGATCCCTTGCGTGTATCCAACCTCGGTCTGAGTCACCCCCGGGACCCTCTGGAAAGCAAGCTCGACCCCCCAGAAGCATCCTGCGCCGAATTGCGCAAACTGATTTCCCGGCGCCGGAGCGTCATCGTCGTTTCCTTGAGCGATCGGAGAAGGATCCATTCTCGTTTGCCCGCTTGATCCCAACCCGAACCTGTTGAGTATGTTCATGCAGAGATTTCTTTGAGAAGAGCGAAAGAGAGGACACGAGAGAATAATATCGAGAGAGATAAAGCGAATCGGAAGACGTCTCCTCCAGTGACTCACCTCTGCGTTTGCGTTTGCGTTTGCGTTTTCATATTTTTATGATAATGGCGAGCTTAATGGCTATGGTAAGTAAATTAGACTTGAAAAATGACAAATCCACCAAGTGTATGTTTATTCGCTAAACTAAACCTTGATTCATATTATGAAACAAAATTTTTACTATATCAACCATGAACCAAATTTAATGTAATCGAATCCAACATAATAAAAAAAAAAAAACGGAAACTACAATTTTCATATATACAGTACTGTATATGAAATTATTACTGAATCAAACAAATAAATTGTTTGATCATAATAATATCTCTTCAAACCAAATGAACCAAAGTACATAAAACCAAACCAAATCACCGAATACTTAATTAAATTACGGAAAATATATCAATGGAAAAAGTAATAACAATTAAATATACAAAAATTCTCGTAACTCCCCTCCAATCGTGGTCGCCAAAGTGAGGAGCTGAACTAGCGACCCCGGTTGCAGGATTAATCTTCTTAGAAGATGGCTGAAGAATTCCTGCGGGTGCGGTTCGTGGAGCTCCCACAGGGGCCGAAGATGGGCCATTGCCTTCGACATTGACTTGTAGCTTCATACCAGCGAAGCAATGGAGCCGATTACCGCAGACAAAGAACCGATCTCCCGGTTTGGACAGAGCAACGGTCGTGTTCCCGTTTGTGAACGTACGGATCGGGTCCGTAGTGTTGCAGTTTTGGAACTTGTCCTTCGCCACTTCGTAGACACTATGCGTCGATGAGTATTGGAACACTTGCAATTATTAGACAGATATAATTAGACTTAAAAGCGTTTTAAGTATGTTTAAATCGGTTACATAGCAAAATCATTAAGTTATGAAAGAACAAAATAGAAAAAATCTATAATAGATTAAATAAATGGAAATCACTATATGAAAAAAAAAAAAATCAATTAGTTAGGGAATTTCGATAAGATACTTACTTAAAACATCACCAACAGAGAATCGCTTGCCTAAAGTCCAAGAATCAAGATCGGAGCTTATGTCCCAACCGGAGGTGTCGCCCACAAAGTATGTCGTTGCGTTGCATCTTCTTAGTGCTAAAGTTCCAAAAACGATGCAGAGGTTGAAAAGAAGTAGCATCGTCGACGTCTTCTCCATAATTTACGCAACGTTATATTTTTTCAGTAGCTTGAGTTTAATTTTCTTGTATTGTTAATGTTGTATAGATGCATGTATATGTGCGTGACTGGAAACTATATACATGTGTGTGTATAGGGCATGGCTTAAGGTTGCTCATAGGTGGATAACCTAACATCACAACCACCATATATAACATATATGATCTGCCTTGTTACCTGGCCTTTGTTTTTTTTTCTTAACAATTTTTCCGTGTTTCATAATTCATAGAAATGTTGTGCTGTTAGGTAAAATCCACAACCCTAAATGGCTAAATCTTCATGAGGACATTGGAAAGTAGTTTAAACAAATTTCTGTATTTATTTCTGTGACTATATTCTGTATAGTTGCTCATTGCATGTTTGTATTTATTTCTGTGACTATAGAAGTATTGAAAAATATACTTATTTTCGGTTATAACAAAAAAGAAAATAATATACTAATTTCGGGATCAATTTCAACAGTGAGGGTTAATTAATGCAGTGACTAATAAATAATGCATTCATTAGAAGAAAACAATACAATATTTTTATAAAGTGTACGGGTTTGGTCTGATGACGAGAAGAAGCTTTTACATCTTTAGTTGTCAAAAAAGTATGGGATTTAAATCCCAGCATATACAAAATGTGTTTTTTGTTCTTATATAGATATATTAATATATATATATATAAAACACAGAGCACATACAAAACCGTTGCAAGTGATGCTTTCCAATTTTGGGAAATTTCTGTATAGAAACCCATAACGCAAATATATTGATTTGTATTTATGTTTTCTTTTGTTTATAGTTTATAGCCTGACTAGTCATGATCTAGGATGAATTAATGTAGTCGTTAAAATAGTTCATTTTCTGATTTTTTAATAAGTTTAAACCATAATACTATGTTACTATTTCTACGGATCAAATGAAAGTGGTTATAATTCGTATCTACATATGTCATAAATCAGTATATCATAATTCATAAAATTTTATTTATTGAGTACTGATTAATATAGTTTTGAATGCTATAATTTTAAACAATCGGTAAGTCCCAGACTCTCAATTTGTATACATAATTTTTTAAAATTAATGGTTTTTTAAATATAGATTATGTTCGACTGCTCTAGTTGCATATGATAAAAGACATACGTTAAAAAATATAATATAATAGTTAACAAAAATAAATTTATTTAATGCTCTTAACTAAGATGGTGCAACTATCAGATTGTTGTCAGTTGTTTATTGTATAATTAATATTATGTTCTGCTCATCTTTAAAAAAACAATTGGACTTGGAATTGGCATCGAATGGATGTTGAACTTCTCGACTAATCGGGAGTGTTTCTCTTCACCAACTCTACCTAATATGCTTCCAGAGAATTGTCCTTGCGATTCCTTTTTATTTTATTTGGAAAATGCATAAAATGAGAAATCGGAAGTTTTGCAAATTTACACTTTTAAAAAATTTATCTTTTTCATACTTTTTAAAATAATTTTCAAAAACATTTTAATTGTTCATTACACTTTAGATTCTGCTATAATACGACATGTATGTTTGTGTGCGTACATAAAAATATTAAAAGGATAAAAAAAAGTATATAAAAGAGAAGGAATTTTCTTTTTAAATGTCTAGCTATGCAAATATCTCTAAAAACTATTGGTTTTTATTTTTAAATGTCTAGCTATGTTCCCATTGCACGAAGGAAGCGAAGCATTACCTAGACCTCATGCAAGACTATATAACTATTTCATATAAAAAATCTATACAAAATTACAAATTCATATCCTCATGCCGGATTCATCTAGATATTATATATATCCACGTGTGTTCATCGTATTTAGTAAGGCTTAAAATCCGGACAAGAGGATGTTTTTTTGCAGAAAGTTTTTCTTTGTTCTTTTGTAGATGATACTATGAATAGGATTGAAATATCCACTAAATACATCCCATATTAATGTTGTAGTGTTGTACTATATCCCAACATCTTATTAATGTCCCCCCGTCATATATGTAATTGGTCAATTTTATATAGTTTTTACAACACACATATATGTACGTTTTTATGATGATATCGTTAATTATTGGTGCACAGAAACATTTGACAGTTACACATGCATGCTCTAGATAATCCAAAAATGAACGATAATCATTTAGTATTCGACCGCCAAGGACTTATTATAACCCGAATGTCATTTGACGGCTACAAACCCTATAAATAGAGGAGCCACTCGCAACTCTCCTTTTAGTTTGCCCTATCATATTACTAACCAATTTCTCAACAATGGAGAATGAGAAAGGTGAGAATCCAAGTACGTTCAAGATGGGGAATTCTGCACAAGAGAGGAGTTCACCGTATGTACCGGATTGTTACGTTGTCCCACCTTCTTGCGAGCCACGTGATGCGCTTAGTTCAAATTCCGAAATTGTGCCAACGATCGACATTTCTCGGTTGAAAGGCAGCGATGATGAACGTCGAGGGGTTATTCAAGAGTTAAGTTTGGCATGTGAGCGTTTCGGTTTTTTTCAAGTAAGTTTTTTTCACAAAATATATGTAGATCTGAGTTGTTTTCCCGAAAATTTTAAATATGTCATAAAGAAATTATTATGCTACGGAAAGTTTTGGCTTATATATTTTTATTGTATTTTATCAGATATTCACCTATTGGCTAACCATGGATTCAATATAGCTTGCGTCATAATATGTTTCTATTTAAAACCAAGTTATTATAGTCGGTTCAAAAAAGTGATTATAGTCGGTTGGTCAAAATATCAGTTCTCTTAGTCACTGAAAAAAAAAAAAAAGCTCTAGTCATTTTAACACGTGACAAGTGACATTGCTGTCACATGCCGGGGCAAATCCGGTTTAAACGGAGTTTCTCCCACACTAACTGATTCATTTATTTAATTTTCTTGGTTCGCTTATTGTATGAAGATAGTGAACCATGGAATCAACCAGAACATATTAGACGACGCATTGGCGGTTGCGAAAGGCTTCTTCGAGCAGTCAGCGAAGGAGAAAAAGAAGTTTATGTCTGAGGATGTGTACGCACCGGTTCGGTACACTACGAGTATCAAGGACGGTTTGGACAAGATCCAATTCTGGAGGATATTTCTAAAGCACTATGCACATCCTCTTCATCGTTGGATTCACCTCTGGCCTGATAACCCACCCGGATACAGGTATTATTATATAGATACGTATTTCATGAGCATGTCTATTTGTATTAGTCCGTATATGTCACTGATTAGGTCACTATATATTATTAAAAAAAGGTTTTGAATACAGCGGCGCATTTTGTTTTTGTTTTTCTTTCTTGTTGACCTAATGGACTGTATCACCTGGACCGCCTAGCTCAAAATTGAAGAACTATCAGCCTTTATATATATATATATATATATATATTATATATATGTTCTTATATTTTTGAAAGTAAAATCAAATAATTTTCTTTTTAAATAATTTGTCCTCTTTTTGTTCAAACCAATAAAAACAATCAAATATAATAGTCGTGAGTTTAAAATATACTAAAGATGCTTCGGTAGACAATTTTCATCAAAAACTAGTTCTCAATTTAAATAGTTATTTTTCTTTGTCAAGTAAATAGTTATTCCCATTGCTGAAATTAACGTATATTAATTTAATTTTCCATCTCTTTTTTTTTTTCCTTTTTTCTAACTGTTTTGCTTATTAGATGATTATTTTTCAGTTTTCTTACGTACAAATAAATGTTACAAAAAGTTATAGTTAAATATATATATATTTTTTTGCAGCTATCTTATTACGGAATATATTTTTAAATTATAGATTGAGACAAATAAATGTACATAATTCTGAAGACCACTTTTATCAAGAAATATTTGTTGTTTCGGTTTCTCTTACGTCGTTTTTTTTTTCCTCAGACCAACCATGTCTATCACTGTATCACATCGTGTAGCATATGTTAGTGTGTGTTTATGTGGATATATACGTTTGTTTTATTTTAGGGAAAAAATGGGTAAGTTCTGCGAAGAAGTGAGGAGGCTATCTCTCGAGATTATGGGAGCAATAACGGAGAGCCTAGGACTAGGGAGAGATTACCTGTCGTCTCGGATGGACGAAAACGGCATGCAAGCCATGGCCGTTAACTGTTATCCACCGTGTCCGGACCCTAAGACGGCGCTAGGCCTGCCGCCGCATTCTGACTACAGTTGCATCACCATCCTTCTACAGAACTTGGCCGGTCTTGAGATCTTTGACCCGAGGGCTAATGGTGGCTCTGGCCGCTGGGTTATTGTCCCAGAGGTCAAAGGTGTACTCAAGGTACGTTCCAACTCTTTCTAAACCGGAGGAAATCAAATTATATATTTATCAACCGACAACCGGGCTCTTGTGTTCCAATTATTTCGGTTTATACCTAAACCGGAGGGGAATTGTTTTTTTTTTTTTTTACTTAATACCAAAGGGAGGGCAATTAATATTACACATTAGCCGGTCACTAATTTTTTTTGTATTTTTTAATAACCGCGGGACTTATTTATATCGCTTTCTCTTAATAGGTCCATATTGGTGACCATGTGGAGGTGCTAAGCAATGGATTATACAAGAGCGTCGTTCATAAAGTTTCTCTGAACGAAGAGAAGACGAGAATCTCCCTCGCGAGCTTGCATAGCTTGGGTATGGACGATAAGATGAGTGTACCATACCAGTTGGTAAACGATGAAAATCCGATTCGCTATAGAGAGAGCAGCTTCAACGATTTTCTCGATTTTCTTGTCAAGAAAGACATTTCTCAAGGGGATAGGTTCATTGACACTCTTAGAATCAAGGACTAATCGAGTTCTACCACGTAGGTTCCTTGGTTAAGGGTGCAAATGTAAGACCGGTTTGGTTTGGTACGCGGTATATTGTGCATTTAACCTGTGTGATAACGTGGACATGTATAGATATCAGAAGCACATATATACGTGTTAAAGTATAATGCCAGAAATATAATTTTTAAAGAAAGCAAATCATTTTCCGATTTCCAAATTCTTTGCAATCCAAATAGCATCTAAAGTGAATTATTATTAATATGTTTTTTTGGTGCTATAATACTAATATATTCCTTTGTCGTACGTCTTTAATTCATTATATAGCCAATTTGTTAGAAATTTAGAAAAATCTTATTTGTGGTTCCTTTTCCAGTAGTGTCAAATGCATATAATGGTTTTTTGTAATATGTTCAAATCAATCTCGTAACACTCAACTACTCAAGATCTCCTAATAATTAGAAATAGAAGTCAATAAACATAAGTATACTTGCGTGGTTGTAAGAAACAAAAAAAAAATGTATATTTGACAGAGTCATAGCATCGATCCGAAATCGCCAAAGCCATAGGGCTCTGATTTAGCAACCAAATAAAAAAAAAACTAAAGGATTTTCTCGCTTAATTAAACATATACACCCGCACAAACGTATTGGCTTTTAGCTTTTAATAAGTTTTTTTTTTGTCTTTTTGTAAAGAATCTGTTCAATCCCTTGTACACAACAATATCGGAGCAAACTCATAATATGTACAGATCCGCGAGCTGGAACCGTGTGACCGAGGATTACTCTGTGCCTTGATCCGCGCCAAAGGGATTGTGGAAGGGAGTAGACGAAGACGAGCCGGCTCCATACGATCCTGCCGGCCAAGAGATGACAAAGAAAGAGAAGTCACGTGGCAAGTTCGCTGAAAACGCCGTTCACATAATCCCTTTTGTCCTTCTCGCTTGTGCTCTCGTCCTTTGGTTTTTCTCTAATCCAGGTATGTACATATACAACATATTCACGGTCTTAGTCTCTTTTATCATCTATTGGTTCGATTCTATAAATGTTGCCAACATTCTATTTTAGGCTATTAATTATATCTTCTAGTCGTTGATCGCATGATTGCACATGTAATTGCTAATAGTCTTAGAAAAAATAAATTTATGGTAATTGTTTCACTGGGTGGCACATATATAGATGTGGATGTTGGAGTAAAAGGGGAATCGATTGCGGCTAGAATCGAAGGATTAACGATCGAAGGAGACATTGACAATGACAGCGACGGAACTCAGACTGGATTCTTAGGCGCCGCCACAGAGGTTGGACGTTCAGACAAGCCGAAACTAAAACACGACGTTAATAAGCGTCATCGAAGGATACAAATTTCAAGGAAAGTGGTGAAAGGGTTTTATTAGTTTTTTTCTTTTCTTTTTGTTAAAACAAGAGTTTTCTAATATTTCTTCTATTTCATTTCCGCATCTAAAAGTGAATTATATGTTTCTTTGGTTACATTTTGATTTAGGCTTTCTCAACACTCTTTGAAATTCACCAGAACTAAGAACCTAAGAAAGAAGGTGAACTCTCTTTGTCTTTTTGACGATTTTTTGCCTAATGTATACAAATGAAAATACTATAGGTTTAAAATTTTATGGTCACAAATAATTACATATCAAAGCTCTCTGTGAATATAACATTAATTTTTGTAGAGCTATTTGCTGCTACTTGAAGGAAAGTTGTTTGATGCAAACCAATTTATAGTCTTTTAGTTTGGTAGTTTCAACATTTTAATCATTGCTGATTAACGTAGGTGTTTTAAATAGCAAATATAACTGTTTTTCCACAGTTTTTGGGATTAGTTTGGATTTGGGTTAGAATATCCGATTATAAATCTCCGATTATAAAGACAAAAGAAAAGAAAAAAAAATAGTTCGACGTGCATGTAATTGACATTTTTTCAAAAACAAATACATACATATATCTTTCGAGAAAATGTCATGTTAACTGACATAGTTTGAGAAGAAAAGGGTCGGTTTATAGACAAGCCAAATAGGTTGTAAAACGCTAATCTGTTGTCTAAAGCGATTAAATTAATTTTAAGAGGAAAAAATTAAGCTACTTTTTGGTGGAAAGAGGTAATTCCGTCGGTGTCATTTCCTACTTAAACATAAGGTTTACAAATATAATTATGGAAACTCTACAAAAAAAATTCTCAATGCTCACCAAACCTACCAAGTTGCAAAACAGAAACGGCTGTCGAGGATATAAAGGATGCTTCTCAACACGTGTGCCAGATGTAGCTCCTCTCCTCTTTATTATTAGTTCTTCTGATTATCATTTACACGTGTGTCTTCCCATGCATTTTTCACTACTCGTGTCTGTAGTGTTTTTCACTGTTCACTACCTAAACGCTGCCGTTTTAGTTAACGTCTGTTAACTTATCTCTCGCCGGTCAACACTAACACCATTGCCTCAATATCTTAACGTTGATCACATTTCTTGTAAATTATGGTAATGTACATATGTTATACTTTATTGATGCATTGGCAAAGATTATTGAAATCGCATTCTTTCACCCTTTTCCGTTGCCGTTAAGATATTTATCCACAGTATACATGTTCATGTTATAAAAATTAACTGTAACGTTTAATATATGGTTTTGGCATTTTTCTTATCAAAACTTTGCAGAGGGTAAAACTATTAAATATTCGACTTTTCAGTCTATAAATCCCCCTTTCCGTTTCCTAAATTATTAATGTTTTTCCTAAGATGATATCTCTATAGTTTTTGTTTTTTTTTCTTTCCTAAAATTAAAATGCATTAGCCAAAAATAAAAATTCCGATCATTGTAAGGAAAGAAATGTTGAAGAGTGTAAATCCAATGGCATTTTACGAAACCGGGGAGCAACAATTTCCTACTATAGGGTACATCGTAAGCAAACCTGGGAATGCAGGAGCTTACGAGATCGACCCTCCGATCCCGACCGTCGACGATGCGATCTACGGCTCAGATGAGTTCCGCATGTACGCCTACAAGATCAAACGGTGTCCTCGGACTCGCAGCCACGACTGGACGGAGTGTCCCTACGCTCACCGCGGAGAGAAAGCCACTCGCCGTGACCCTCGCCGTTACAGTTACTGCGCCGTCGCATGCCCGGCTTTCCGTAACGGCGCATGCCACCGTGGCGACACCTGCGAATTCGCACACGGTGTGTTCGAGTACTGGCTCCACCCGGCGCGTTATCGGACACGCGCATGCAACGCCGGAAACTTGTGCCAGAGGAAAGTGTGTTTCTTCGCACACGCGCCGGAGCAGCTCCGGCAATCTGAGGGGAAACATAGGTGCCGGTATGCGTACAGGCCGGTGAGGACGACGGCGGCGAGAGGCGGAAACGGCGGTAGTGTGGGGCTTAGATTGGATGGTGAGTATTACGACACGTGGCGGTCTCCGGCGAAAAGCGGGAAAAGTGATTTAGATATCAACGAGGAGAGAGTTTCGAAGTGTTGGAGTGGGATGAGCATTGTGGATGATCATTATGAGCCGTCCGATTTGGATTTGGATTTGGATTTGTCACATGTTGATTGGATCTCAGAGTTGGTCGATTAAATTCAGCAAAACCAAAACAACCGATAAAATAAAAACTGAATTTTTGTTTATAATCCAGTGGACCCCAATCCAGTCGAGTCGATGATACAACCAACATACAAGACCAAGATTCATCTTGCAATATAGCAAAAAGAGTTATTTCTCGAAGCATATTAACTGATTCTTGTTCTTCTGTAAGTCTTTGATGTTCGAATGCAATTAAGTGTTACCTCGCATTTCCACTATTTTTTTAATTCCTAATAAATCTTGTATCAGTCATTTTTCTTTTATCACTATATATAAGCAGATTCAACATGACAACATTACATCAAACGTTTTTCTCAAAAATAAATAAATAACATTCCATCAAACGTATTATAAAGGATTTTTTTTTTTCCTTTTAGCATCCGAGTCTTAAAATCTTGAAATAAGACACAATTAAGTTATATACCACTGTTCTTGACTATGGTGGTGCACTTCCACCCGCCGGTTCAGCTCCGGTAGCAGGTGCAGCTCCATCCGGTGGTGGTGTACCGCCACTCGGTGGCGTACTTCCACTCGGTGGCGGGCCTCCACTGGGTGGTGGTGTAGTTCCACTTGCAGGTGTACCTCCACCTATGGGTATATTTTTGAACCATGGTTGATTTTTTAACCATTCTGGAATATTTCCAGAAAAGTTTTTTCCATTCCAAGACCATGTAAATCCACCAGGTTTACCAGCTCCAGCCCCCGATTTATTTCCGAATGTTCCAGAAAACTTTTTTCCTCCAAAAGATCCTCCAAATCCACCTGAAAACTGTAGCATTCGTCTCACCGGAGTCCTATCACGCACAAGTGTACCGAATTCTTATTACATTTACGTTGACAGTGCTTCAAATGATGTTTGTAAAAAAAAACGCAAAAAAATGTCGTGAAGTAAAAGACATGTAAAAAATGAATTGAGGTAGCATGTAAAGAGAACCTTATACATACAAAGGAGAGTTACACAATTCAGCTAAATTCTCCTAGATGTTTAGATAAGGATGTGTGTGGGAGTCAGTTGATCGAACCCAAAATTGAGAAATAAAAATCATCGGAAGCTAAGATCACCATTAAATGTGTGGGTTCTAAATATTTATTAAATCGGATATCCAAATTAAGCCTTGACCAAAGGCTATTATGTACATGCATGTGTACATATATATGTGAATAATATATAAGCAAAAATCTCGAGTGATTTCGATAGATGTTCTTAGTATTACCTAATGAGCCCCATTAAGAGACCAATGGCGGTCATACCAAGGGTGGCACCGGCCGTGAGCCCCGTAGCTAAGAGAGTAGTGGCTATAGTGGCGGGTACGAGAATCGGACTAAATATGATGAAAATCGGTGTGGATACAACTAAAGCCACGGCTGAACCGGTGAGTGTTAGACCGGCAAAGGCTAAGAAGACTACGGAGGTCACGGAAGCAATAACAAGCTTAATAATGTCCAACAATGGAAAGAAAAAAGAGAACATTTTGAGAAAAAATTTAAATTTCGATGACTGAGAATGAGATTCGTTTTGAAGGAGTTCTTCGCTCATATTTTGAGATCGGATGGTTGTGGTTTAGTGGTGGGAAGAGATGGATTTTATGGAGTCTACATGCAAAACGATGGGAGTAAACAGAGATCTTCGTTACATCACGTCACGTTTACATTCCCTTTTTGTGTGTGTGTGTGTGGGTTGTCAATTTGTCATGTTTTTTGAGCCAGTGTTTGTTCGAGCACACTAAGATTAAAATTTTAAAAGTAGCACAAATTACTGTGTGAAAAAACTTGTTTATCCTAAACAATTACAAACAAAACTAAAACTTTATATTTAAATTTCTTTTAAGATTTAAAGTTTAGATTTTTCAACTATTTTTCTTAATCATTTTGATACTAAATTGCGTTTACTGTAAATTTAAACTAGTAATACTACGATTTAAATACAAATTAATTTTGATGTTATTTAGGTATTTTCTACTTTAACTAACGATATTTTAGAAAATTCTCTACTGATAAAATAATCTGATTTGGAGACTATTTATACAAAACTAACACATGATTCTTGAAACGCTTAGTTAAGAACTAATTTGCCTTCTCAAAAGACTAGATGAAACAAATCAGAAAATTCATCCATACCACTTATTTTTCAGTCATCTCTCAGTTCTGTTCTTAATTTTGTAGCCAACAACCCCAAGCCTATTTGTTAATTTATAAAAAATTTACCATACAATTCTATTAAAAGTTTTTTTTTTGTTAAAGAAAGTTTACAATATAGAAAGTCACCAAAAAAGCCTAATTTTTTATCCCAAAAAAATTGCCTTAATTATTTTCTTCTCAAATTCCCTAATCAAACTCTACTACCAATCGATAAATCCTTTCAAGATGAATGCAATTTAAGTGTTACCTCCGCACTTACAGTATTTTTTCAATAAACTTTGTATCAGTCATTTTCTATTATATATCACTATAAGCAATTTGAACATTACATCATACTGTTTTCCATTTTAGCTTCCGAATCATAAAATTTTGAATTAATATACACAACTTTATATATGCTACATGTTGGAACAGCTCGACCAATGTCGTTTACTACGTTGGTGCACTTCCACCCGCTGGTTCACCTCCACTAGCAGGTGCACCTCCATTCGGTGGTGTACCTCCACTCGACGGTGCAGTTCCACTCGGTGGTTTACTTTCACCCGGTGGTGCTGTACCTCCACTCGGTGGTGTACCTTCACCCGCCGGTGATGTACCTCCACCTCCCATTCCAGGTATACCTCCACCTCCGATTCCAGGTATGCCTCCACCTCCTTTGGGCATATTTTTCAACCATTCTGGAATTTTAAATCCACCTGCTCCTCTACCTCCACCCCTCATTCTATTTCTAAATTTTCCAGAAAATCGTTTTCTTCCCAATCTTCTTGGCAAATTCAGAGTTTGGCCTGAGGTGACTCCTTTCGCAGTCCTATCACGCACAAGTGTACCATATTCTTATTACTTACGTTGACAGTTCTTTTAAATGATCATGTTACTAAAAAAACGGAAGAAATGTCGTAAAGGAAAACACAACTAATAACTTCACTTTTTTTTTTTCAATATAGAAGTAATAAGAACAATAAGTTGTAACTAATTCAAAAAACCAATTGAGGTAGCATGTAAAAAGAACCTTATACAAAAGAGAGGAAAGAGAATTTTTTTTTAGCTAAATTTCAAAACGTTTTAGAAAAAGATGTGTGTGGGAGCTGTTCGAGCCCAAAATTGAGGCTACGATCACCAATAAATGTGTGGCTTCTAAATATTCGTTTAATCCGACATGATGGCGACATCCAAAGCCTTGGCTAAAATATATACAAGCAAAAAATCTCAGAGTGATTTCAATAGAATTTGTTTAACATTACGTTGTGGGCCCGATGGGCCCCATGACGAGACTAATGGCAGTCATTCCAAGGGCGGCACCGGCCGTGAGTCCAGTGGTTAGGAGAGTAGTGGCTATAGTGGCGGGTACAAGAATCGGACTGAATATGATGAAAATCGGTGTGGATACAACTAAAGCCACGGCTGAACCGGCGAATGTTATACCGGCAAAGGCCATGAAGACTACGGAGGTCACGGAAGCAATAACAAGCTTAATAACGTCCAACAATGGAAAGACAAAAGAGAACATTTTGAGAAAATATTTAAATTTCGATGACTGAGAATGTGATTCGTTTTGAAGTAGTTCTTCCCTCATTTTTAGGGATCGGATGGTTGTGGGTTAGTAGTGAGAAGAGATGGTTTTTATGGAGTTTGTGTGGTATACATGCAAAACGTTGGGAGTAAACAGAGTTCTACGTTACGTTACGTCACGTCACATTCCATTTTGTGTGTGTATGGGTTGTCATGTTTTTTGAGCTCTATTTTCTTCTCTCTAAAAGCTCAAACATTATTTCTCAAGTTGCGATTAATGTTTACGGTTGGAACACCCTAAACAAAATGCTTCCAAGATATCCAACGGTGGCGATTCTATAAGAAAGTATCATAAAGACCAGTTTGCTTAATTAGGCTCGATGAAGTCTTGCATTCCGCTATTTCTAAAAACAAGCTTTATATAATGGAAGTCTATGCCCTTTAATTAGGCTCGATGAAGTCTCAGGATTCTGATTGTGTTTGTTAAGTGGGGATTTGAGCTAGTAATGTAAATAATAATATTATACTGAGGTGATGAGAGTTTGTGATCGAAATAATTTAATTAGTATTATTCTCATAAAATTGAATGTACATGATATAAACCTTCACATAGTAGTAAGGTTTTAACCTAATACGTAATTAATGTGAATATATATATGCCCAAATCGATCAAATTATTTTCTTATACTGTTTACAGATATCATTGATATTTTCTATAATCTTCTTTTTTCGATTTAACATGCGAGACAGGCTGGCCACTATTCGATTTTGTCAAGTATATATAATTCATAGATTTTGACGTTGTAAGAATATTGGAAGAATATGATTTGGCGATTCATCCACTTGACTGCGTAAAAGACAGTTCATGATTTGCAATTTTTTTTTTTTAAAGTTGAAAAGATTTTCAAGTAAGAGAATATTATAAAGAAAAAAAGTTGATAAAATACGTTCCTCCAATATTCGTACAAGTCTACAACGTCAAGAATTTAGATGACTTCAGCAGCCTCAACTTGTTCTCCAATTCAAAATTTAATTCATTTTTCTTGTCAGAATTTTTTGTATTCGTTATTACCTGTTATAATAGTATTCTTCCCCATAGTGAAAGTACAGAGACACAAACTCTACTACATATAGTTAAGCCACTTCAAGAAAAAAAGGAATTATTTAAGTGTTACCACACTATACTTTCTTTTTATAAACATTAATTGTATCACAATTAGCCTTTCGTTTTATCATAATAAGCAGATTCAAGATTACATATAAACATAAATCGTTTCAAGAAGCCTAATTTTGTTTCTTATATATAGTTTCCCAGTCATAAAATTCATCTTGAATTATTACACAATATATGATAAATGTTGGAACAGCTCCACCATACTCCTCTTAGATGAATTTACCGCCACCCCCATGCATACTTCCACTCCCATGCATACTTCCACCACCATGTTTACTTCCACCTCCATGCATACTTTCACCACCATGTTTACTCCCACCTCTAGGTGAACTTCCACCGTCCGGTGAACTTCCACCGCCGGGTGAACTTCCACCTTCAGGTGAACTTCCACCCATAGATGAACCTTCTTCACCCATGGATGAGCCTCCACCCATGGACTTACCTTTTTTACCCATTCCACCCATAGATGACTTCTTGCCCTCGGATTTACCTCCTCTCCCAGATTTACCTTCACCCATGGACTTACCTTTTTTACCCATAGATGACTTTTTACCCTTGGATTTACCTCCTCTCCCAGATTTACCTTCATCCATGGATGATTCTTCACCCATAGATGAACCTTCACCCTTCGATGAACCTTCGCTTTCATGTTTATCTCTACTTCCACGTTTACCCTTAGATTTACTTCCACCCATTGATGAACTTCCACCTTTAGTTTTATTTCCAAACTTTGGCATTTTCATCCCATCTGGCATCTTATTCTTTATAAAGTTTGGCATTTGAAGCAGAGAAAAGAATGATGGAGGTTTTGGAGCCGGCGAAGCTCCTCCCCCTGCCGGCGAGGCTCCTCCCCCTCCCGGCGAAGCTCCTCCCCCTCCCGGCGAAGATCCTCCCCCTCCCGACGAAGCTCCTCCCCCTGTCGGTGGAGCGCCTGCCGGAGGTGGATTATTCTTGGGCTTTACTCCCATCCTAGATCTACATCACAAAAACAAGTGTGTCTATACGTCAGACAATTATTAAGAAAATAACTATGTACCATTTTCTTAATAATTTACGATGAAAAACTCTTTTTCACAAATGGAAAAACAGGTCGTGATGGGAAAGACAATTAATAAGTTAAAATTTTTAAAGTACTGATAATAACAATGATGTGTGACTAAATGAGGTAGCACTAGCAGTAAACAGAACGTGTAAAAAGAAGAATTAAGCAAGTTTTGTTTTAGAAAAAGCCATTATATATATATATATATATATATATATAATAAACGTATTTTTAGGGTTTCACACCGAAGATTAGATTCGGTTAGCTAGACTAATATGTATATGTGCACGTATGTGAATAAAATATAACGATATATATCGAGTGATTTCAATATAATTTTTTTAGTTTTACTTAATGAGCCAAATGATGAGACCAATGGCCGTCGCTCCGAGGCTGGCACCTGCGCCAAGACCAGTGGCAAGGAGAGTAGTGGCTATAGTGGCCGGTACGAGAACCGGACTGAATATGATGAAAATCGGTGTGGATACGGCTAATGCCACGGCTGAACCGGCGAGTGTTATACAGGAGAAGCCTAAGAAGGCTACGGAGGCCACGGAAGCAATAACCACCTTTATAACCTCCATCAATGGGATGAGAAAAGGGAACATATTGAGAAAGGAAAACATTCTTCCCTCTCTCTGTGACTGAGCCTGAGCTGCTGATTCGTTTTCAAAGAGTCCGCTCTGTGACTGAGTCTGACCCTGAGCTGCTGATTCGTTTTGAAGGAGTCCTTCCCTCATATTTTTCTGAATCGGATGGTTGTGGTTTTGTGATGGGAAGTGAGAGGGGTTTTATGAAGGGAGTCGTGTGGTCTACTACGTGCACGGTACACTTGCATGCTCCATGCGAAAAGATTGGAGTATCTGGAGATTACGTCACGTCACGTTTGCTTCTTTATTTTTCTGTCACGGTTTTGGGACCTTCTTATTTTGCTTGTAAAATCTTAACTGTTTTCTTTGATTCCAATGCTTTATGAAATATCAAAGCGTGAAGAAAGATTGTTGTTATTAGCGGCCATATGCGATTACTGAGTTAAATGAGTATATTGATTAAAAGATTGTTGGTGGAAGTGGAACCGACGAAATCTATCATGAATTACTAAAGGTCTCTAAAAATGGTAATTGGCTAGACATTAATAATATATTTAAATATTATAATAAATTGGTAATTGATTTCCTAATTTATAAATTCACAATTGTTTTTTTTGTTTTGTCCTTACGTTTAGCAAAATAAACTGTTTTTTTTTTGTTATATGAGTGTTCGGAAGCTTTGAGATTGTTTAGAGGGTTCCAAGAAGAATGTGAAGTCGCGCCACATGCAGGGCATGAGCCTCAGTTACTAAGAGAGTATGTTCATAATTCCATGCACATGGGAGAGGATATCTTTAGTGCGAAGACTATCAAGGACGAATGCAAGATATCTTTACATTTTACCAAAAAAAAAAAAGAGATGCAAGATCAAAATGAAATTTCATAAACTTAAGTCTAATTGTGAGATGGTATCTTTAAGTATGTACTGTTTAATTGTGTTCCAAAACCTGTCTAAAGTTTGTTTAAGCACAAATGCAACATTGATAATTTAAGACACAATTACCACAGGCTAGCAAAAACTCAAGTAAAAAGGGAACAACGTAAACTAGGCTTGCGCAACTAAAAGAAGACTATGGACTGTCGACATTTTAGAGTTTATGTTGAATGAGCACATGATGTTTATGTCTTTTTTTATCCCCGATTAAAAATTTATTAAGAGGCGATAGTGTTTTGCGGTTTATCAGCTATATATTACTAACAACCAATCGAAGTGAATTAGAAGAAACTATAGCCTCATACGGAAAAAGCATGTTATGCGATTTTATCCGCAGTTTGATTTACTTGAATTGCTCAGAAATTGAGGGAAAATATGTCTAAATCCTCTTGATCGAAATTTCTCATACTCTTGGACAATGCTTCTTAAAAAGATCCAGATAATATTTACAATGAGAAATTCGTTTTTATCGTTCTTTGTAACAGGTATACCGTATACATTAATAGAAATGATATTTGAAACACGTAGATTCTTCTGCGCATAATTTAGGATGAAGAATTTAGGTATAACCTTTGTAATTCAATAATTTAGTTTCAACTTTCAAGTTGCTACTTTCAGCTCTACCAAAATACAGGCGGTTTATTCTCTCCGGCCGGTTTATCTGTTGGCGCGCCAGCCGGTTTATCGGTTGATGCTCCAGCCGGTTTATCTGTTGGTCCTCCGGTTGCTCCGGCCGGTTGCTCCGGCCGGTTTATCAGTTGGCCCTCCGCCCGGTTTATCCGTTGGCCCTCCGCCCGGTTTATCTGCTGGCCCTCCAGCCGGTTTATCTGCTGGCCCTCCAGCCGGTTTATCTGCTGGCCCTCCAGCCGGTTTATCTGCTGGCCCTCCAGCCGGTTTATCCGTCTCTCCCGGTTTACCTGCTGCGGTCGGTGGAGCTCCTGCTGGAGGTGGATTATCCTTCGGTTTGACTCCCATTCTATGCCTACATCACACCAAACACACACAAGTACGTATATACATATGTCAAACTATCTTAAAACATTTTTGTACCACATCTTAATTGATTATACATTAAAGATGTATGATAAAAATAAAACTAAGAATATTCACTGAAATATAAAACATTACGTAGGAATTAATTAAGTCTAGGGTTCTCGGCTTTTCAGTTATACAAAAATATATAAAAACTTTTTAAATTAATAAACGGGAATCGACAGAAACAAATACCTATGTATGATGTATGAAGGAAAAAAAGATATGTTGATGTATACAAAGTGTAAACCTATAATTATGCACATAGATTAAATGTTTCTTACGTGAATGCACATGCGTAACAACACCTTCTAAATATAAATAGACGTATATTATGTATATGTGCACGCATATGAATTATTTATAAGAATAAATCTCGAGTGGCCCGACTCAATTGGGTTTTTTACTTTACGTGAGATTCTATAGGGTTTCTTTAAGCATATATATATATATATATATATATATATAAATGGAGTTTGTTTAAACTAATTTACTTAAGGAGCCAAATCATGAGAGCAATCGCCGTCACTCCGAAGAATGCACCGGCCGAGAGATTGGTGGCTAGGAGAGTGGTAGCTATAGTTGCTGGTACAAGAACCGGACTGAATATAACAAAAAGCGGTGTGGCTACGATTAATGCCACGATTGAGCCGGCGAGGGTTAGACCCGCAAACGCGAACAAGACTGCAGATGCAACGGCAGCAAAAACCAACTGAAAAACCTGAAAAATTGGGATGAGACAAGATAGCATTTTGGGGTGAATGTTTAGATTCTAACGGCTGGGACTTTTTTGTTAAATTTTTGAAGGAGACTTGGCTCCAACTTTGTGATCGGATGGTTGTGTTTTCGTGATGAGGAGATAAACGTTTTATGAAGGAGTTGTGAGATATACGTGCACGGTACGATACACATGCATGCCTCCATGCAAAATTATGTGAATATACACGTCTACGTTACGTCACGCCACATTTGCTTCTTCTTTTTTTTTTTGTGGGTTATCATGTATCTTGGGCTTTGTTTCTTCTCTTTCTTGTACGAACTCGAGATGTTTTTAAAACTTAAGGCGTAAATCAAGATCCACGTTCTCACTCGATCGAGAGCACTCTCCTCTACAAATTCGATCACTTTAGCTATTTGGCTCAAGCACTTTGAAAGCCTAGGAACAATTTACATAATCTTCACAAAACATAATATGTAACACTAAAAACTCCTCAATTATCTGCATATATGTGTAATTAGATCAAAAGGACAAAATCACTCATATGTAAACTTTGATTTTGGCAATATATATAAATTAAATTAACCACTATGCAAAAAAGAAACTCAAATTCTTTCCTCAGTTTCATTGCTTTATGAAATATTAAATCGAGATGAAAGGTTTTGTTATAACCCATCTGCAATTACCAAGCTACATGATTAAGTTGTTGCCTGATTTTTATTAAATTTGATTTATTTGATATGATTGAAACTTTGAAAGGTTAAAATTGTTGGTTGTTGGTTGTTGGTAGAGCCGATCAAATCAATATGTAAGGTGTTCGAACAGCTACAGACTATGCTTGTCGTGATTGAATTAGTATATATATATATATATATATATATATGCCAAACGGTTTTTCTTAATGATGGAATCAGCTAAGGGTTAAAAGTATTTAATTTCCAGCGTAGAATTTGTAGCAGCTATAAAAAGAGATGACATCAGTTAATTTCTAACATTACTTTTGAAAACAAATCTGATTTGTTTTTTAGTTAAAATGATACTCCTCTGTTCCTAAATAGATGATGTTTTAGGAATTACACTCTTATTAAGAAATAATAAATATGTAGTTGTTTTTTTGTCTTTCCACTTTCCAAAAATTCTTTTAATTACTACTTAAATGTTCTATAATCATTATGCATCATATTTATAATACTCCATCACTCAAATATTGGTTTGTTTACAAATGAATATTTGAACTTCAAAATAATCAAAATTTTAGCAAAATTTTTAAATTTGGAGCCACAGTTTCGTTGCTTAAAAACAAAACAATTTAAAATAGCGCCAAAACAAATACAACCATGTCAATTAATATGTTTATCTCAATGTTTTTTTTTTTTGTTTTAGACTTTTAACCCATAATTTCTCTTTATCTAAATTGGTATTTGATAATACTCATGGTAATCTCAGTAACATCACCCATTATTAAAATATACACAACCGAGTACATATATTTTCGTATAGAATGATATTAAAACATTAAGTTTCAACCGAGCGTAATTAGCATTTGATTGAATAGAGGATATATAAATTTGGGTTTATTTAAGGAACCCCAATAAATAAGTATCATCAAGTTCCTCCATATATCATCCCATATTACGAAAGGCCTACACCGTTTTTCACCCAGAACCTGCTGGTTTAGACGCCGGAGCCGGCGGGGTCAATCCCGGAATCTTTGGCGGTTCCTTCCCCGTATAACGCCTGCACACAAATATATATTAATAAAAACAAAATATTTTATGTTCAGAAACTAATATAGCGGAAACAGCCTCCTGGAAACTCATGTAGCATCTAATGTGTTTTAGAATAGTTAATCTGTTAATTACTTAAAAGCAACACGAAGATAGAATGATGATGGATAATATATTTATTGACATGCATATAGATAAGTTTCCATGTTCGTCTTGTAGATGCATATGCCTAACGCCTCGTTGAATATGAATAGACCACATTTCGAGTGGCTTTCAATAAAAGATTTTGTTTAATTTACTTGTAAAGCCACATGAAAATGCTGAGAGCCGTGGCACCGAAGGAGCCCGAGGCCGTGAAACCGGTAGCTAGCAAAGTGGTGGCTATAGTTGCTGGCACAAGAATCGGACTGAATATGACAAATAGCGGTGTGCTTACGGCTAATCCAACGGCTGAGCCGCCAAGGGTTATACCGGCGAATAACAAGAGAGCCAATGCAGCCCCGGCGGTGAAACCCGCCTGAATGATCTCAAACATTTTGGGTAATGTTAATGGTTGTTGTATGGTGGTGTGAAGAGGAGGGGGATTTTATGAAGGAGTTTGTGGAAGTCTGCGTGCACGGTACGGTACACTTTCATGCTTCCATGCAAAACGAAGTGAGTACTAAATGGAGATCTACGTTGCGTCACGCCACACTGATTTTTTTTTTTTCTTTTTCTGTTTGTGTCCATGTTTATTTGGATTTTTCCTTGTTTTCTTTTCTTGCTTTGGTAATCGGTATCCCTAATTAACATAAAACTATAACGAAATAAAAATAAAATAAAAAAGTATACTTTTAGCAATAACTAATTAAAAATAAGCGTTTAAAAAGCAATAACTAAATAAAAATTGAATAAATATATATACCAATTCATAGGAGTAATGTTTGAATGAATTGTTTTATGGTTGGAAGACTAGAATTAGTCCCTCTATATAGTTGACTATAAACATATATAAGAACCTTGAATAGTGTTAGCTAAATTATAAAGGTCTAGAAAATTAATGGATTTTGATCCAAAATCTTTAGTTGATTAAAATGATACATTTCCGATATCGAGTTCTTAACATAACATCTACAAAACGCATCTACAAAACGTGATGGAATCAGTTAAAAAGAGGGGGTGATATATGTCGAATTAAACATTACCATAATATCAAACTGACTCTACGTATACCTTAATCTATATTGTGGTACCATTATTATCTTATTAGATAGCATGGAAATATCTCAGAAATCGGTAGTTATTTTGTTGTTGCTAAAAGTTATCGGTAGTTGCAAAGAAACGTTTAGGTTTATATTTTTACAATGGTAGAAACAACATTACAGTGCCCTTCCATTAAGAAGTTCTCACTTGAATATCGAAAATAGAGAAACAAAATAATAAAAATAAAATTTAAGTGGATATCTCAAATAGTTGAGAAACAACTTAATTTATTATTCTTCAATAATATAAATTGCAAATAATCATCTTGGTAATCTCATGATATCACTTAACTTTAAAAAATATACAACACAGAGAGTACATTTATCATAATTTGGTAACACGATATACATAAGTAGAATGATATTTGAACGTTTACTTTCATCCGCGCGTAATTGTTATGTTAGTAAGGATTTATTTTAGGAGCCCCAATAATTAAAGATCACCAAGGTCCTCCATATATCGTCGACCCATATTACGAAATCCCTAATAATCTTTTTTCCCAGCCGCCGCCGGATTCGATGGGGTCAATCCCGGAATTTTCGGCGGGTCCTTCCCTGTATAACGCCTGCACATAATTACATATTAAAAATTAGGAATATGGTATTTTTAAGTTCAGAAACTAATATGATCGGAAACAACCTCTAGAACACTCTATTATGTCAGTCTTTTAGAATAGTTATTCATGGAGTGTTTCATGAACATAGTTAGCCAAATGAAAATGTTGATTTATACTATATTTATAGCCACGAAACTATATATGTACGTCTTTTTTCGGAGAAACGGTTCGAAACTATGTACGTCGAATCTCGTTGATGAATTATATTTATAGCCATGCATATAATTAAATAAGTTTCCACGTAGATGCATATGCTTAACGTCTTATTTGAATATATATAGACCAAACTACGAATGGTTTTAAGAAAGAATTATTTTTTTAATTTACTTGTAGAGCCACATGAAGATGGTCATAGCCATGGCACCGAGGGAACCCGAGGCCGTGAAACCCGTAGCTAGCAAAGTGGTGGCTATAGTTGCTGGCACGAGAATCGGACTGAATATGACAAAAAGCGGTGTGCTTACGGCTAACGCCACGGCTGAGCCGCCGAGGGTTATACCGGCAAATACCAAGAGAGCTAATGCAGCTCCGGCCGTGAAAACCGCCTGAATAATCTCAAACATTATTGGGATGAAATGTTAAAATCTCAAAGGCTGAAATTTGTGATCGAGTTGGTTGTGGTTTTGTGTTGGAAAGATGGGGGGTTTATGAAGGAGTTTTCGAGGTCTACGTGCACGGTACGGTACACATTGATGCTTCCATGCAAAACGATGTGAGTACTAAATGGACGTTCTATACGTTACGTCACGTCACATCTGTTTCTTTCTTCTCTTATATTTGTGTGGGTTATATATTATCATGTTTATTGGCCTTTTCCTTGTTTTCTTTTCTTCCTTTTGTATCCCTAATCAAAATAAAACTATAAGATAAATTGGCATCATACTTACTAGATATATTTAATTCATATTGGTTCGATTGTTGAATGATTTATTTTCTGGTTAGAAGATTATGATTAGAGTATTTATGGTTAACTTGGTTTTGGCCGGTTTATAATTAGAAGATTTACGCTTTGAATCCAGACCGGATTAGATTAGTACTGGGTTGCGGGTTAACCGGTTTCACAGGTCCGTCTGGTCCAGTTTTGAAAACATTGGGGACAATTTTACATGTAACTTTAAATGTTCCTTGGGGCCGATGTAGGCTATCTCATTTTTTTTCTTAATTGCTTTAATTTTTTTTTTCCAAAGGGAAAATATATTAGTAATTTAATTAGTTTCAAGTAAAGCTTTTGTTCGAATTCTTTTTTTTTTTAACTAAAAAAGTTAGACTGAAGTCTGTAATATCATATCATCCTAAGCGTAGCTTGTTTAGGGTTGAATTTTAAAAAGGTAATTAAGTACCAGACAAAGTTAGCAAAACAAGAACTTCAATGTGGTAAGGTTCAATAATTCACACGGATGACTATATAGTTGATGCGCTGATATATAATTTCTTTTTAGGGACCCTTCTTTTTAATATACTTTACAACAAAAATGTTTATATTTGTGATTATATTGTACCACGCATAAATTAATAGAATGATAGTATTTGAAAGTTTTAGTTCCATCCCCACGTAATCATTAGTATTCATTAAAAAGTTGGATCAATTATGTGGAATTCCAATAACTGTCTATCAAAATTGGCTTCTTCTCATCCATGTGGCGCGGCTGCTGACTTAGCTGACGGTTTATGATTTAGGTGCTTGCTTAGCTGTCGGTTTATGTGATGATTTAGCTACCGGGTTAGGTTCAGATTTAGCTGCCGGTTTAAGTGCTGATTTAGCTGTTGGCTTAGCTTCCGGTTTATGTGATGATTTAGGTACACCTCTATACGTTTCTCCGGTTCGCACTGATGAGATAGGCTCCTTAAATTGTCTACACCCAACTGAATACGTCTGGTTATAAAAAAGTCTTAGTATCATATAATCTTAATAGTTACGGCCCAAAAAAGTCTTAGTATCATATATATAGAAGTATACATCAGCCATGCATCTGAATAACTAGATATAGATTCCAAATGCCTACGTCCCTTCTTAACGCAAACTTTTCAACATGACATATAACTTTGTTATAACTATGTTTTAGAATATATGAAAATAAATGGAAATAAATTCACGCATATATAACACGTTTAATCATCTAGTCAATTTAAAAATAGGATGTAGTCACAAATCATCAATTTTATCCGTAATTAAGTAATCCATCTAACCTCTCAACCGAATATATACTAAACGTTTTCAGCAATATACAGTATATTCTGTGCACATAGATAAAAAAGAAATTAAAGAAAAAAGAATATTTTATTAATGTTAATTACTTGTGGAGGCACATGAAGATGGTGAGAACCGTCGCACAAGAAGTGGCGGAGGCCGCTAAACCCGCAACCAACAAACTGGTGGTAAGAGTAAAGCCCCGCTGGTATGAGAACGGGACTGAGTACGAGGAATAGCGGCATGGTGGCGTTTAAAGCCATAGCTGTGCTGACGAGGGATTGAACGGCGAGTAAGAGAGGAGCAATATTGCGGTTTTCTTTTTATTGAAAAACAATATTTTCAATGGCTAGAAGAAAAAAAAAAAAAAAAAACATACTTGTTTGATCGGAGGCTTGTGGAATTTTACAAAGGAGAGTGGCTTTTACGAATAGAGAGTGATGTGGTCTGCGTGCACGGCTCGTGATTTGCCCCATGCGAAACGATGCGACTGAATGTTGAGGTCTAGAGCACGTCAATACCTCTCTTTTTCTCTCTTTTTTTTTTTTTATTTGATAACGTTCGTAATAACAAGAACTTCAATAATAATATAGTTGATGCGTTGGTTAAATTAACTTCCGCCAAAACTCAAAATATTTGTCTAAGGTTAATATCATATATCACTACATTTTTAAAATTCTATACAATAAAAATGCGAACAACTGTTTTTATTTTGTACCACGTACGAAGTATATGAATAGAATGATATTTGAAAAATTTTAGTGCTATCACGTAAAAATTAGAATTTAGTATTTTCGATAAAGTTGGATTAAATATATTTAGTTTGCGGAGTTCCATTATCTAAATATCAAATATCATCCCTTGCCTATGTCCATGACATATTTTTATTTGCCCGGTTTAGCTGCTGGCTTAGCTGCTGGTTTGGCTGGTGGTTTGGTTTTTGGTTTAGCTGCTGGCTTAGCTGCTGGTTTGGCTGGTGGTTTGGTTTTTGGTTTAGCTGCCGGTTTAGCTGCTGGTTTGGCTGGTGGTTTGGTTTTTGGTTTAGCTGCCGGTTTAGCTGCTGGTTTGGCTGTTGGTTTTGCTGCTGGTTTGTCTTCCGGTTTAGCTGCCGGTTTATCTGCTGGTTTGGCTGTCGATTTTGTTTTTGGTTTAACTGTCGGTTTAAGTGTTGGTTTAGCTTCCGGTTGAGTTTTTGGTTTGGTTGTCGGGGATGTTTAAGGATTGGCTGTGATTTTTTTTGTGGTTTGGCTTTTTTTTTGGTGACTTTTTTGCATTTCGATTTGGAATGAGCCTCGGAGAAAACTTTAAAAGTCGGTTCGTTTCTCTGTTTAACAGTACCCAAAGTCCGGTTTAGTTCTGTTTATAATGTAACATTTTTAACATCGGTTTTTAAAGTACTTTATACCAAATTATAAAAAAGAAAAAGGGGGAAAATGGTCGTACTTGGTTCTGGCAACAAGTGTAACCCAACTCGCCAAGCAGGGAGATAACATGTGCTTTGGCACAACGAAATTGAGTTCTCTTCTTCTTCTTCATAGGTAGCTTTCTCGGCTCCTCACCCACTGGAACAACCAC